CTCTGATTTTTAATATATATATATATATATATATATATATATATTTTTATAAATATTATATTTATTATTATTATTTTACTATTATATATTTTTTTTTTACTCTTTTTCTTTTCTTTTTTTTTTTACTCTCTCTCTCTCTCTCTCTCTCTCTCTCGTATGCTTCATCCGAATCGCATGTCCTTTATATAGCGAGGTTTTATCATTTTTTTTATAATAAATATTTTATTTTATAATCATTATTATATTAGATATATTATATATATGTATATGGGTAGGTGGTTATGCGTGATTTGTTTCACGTGGGCGGCCAAACCTTCTCCTTGTTTTTTTTTAAAATTATTTATTATTAATAATTAATTAATCTATTAATTAATAAAAAAATCAGGATGTTACACATACACATTCACATATACATACACATTCACTTACACACATATATAAACACACACATACGCATTCACACATATATATACACATTCACTTACACACACATACACATACATAAACACACACAAACACATCAAACACACACATATATATATACATAAATACATATATATTACCTTATGGGAGAAATTTGGTGATCTTTGGAGAGATTTAGAAAAAAATGGCGATTTTTATTTTTTTTTCCGAAAATCTTTGAATCTGATAAAGAAGACGACTCGTGGTTTTATATTGCGTTTTGCGACGGAATTTTCCGTCGCAATCCGTCACAAAATGAAATTTATTTACGCGCCCAAAATTCAAAAAATTTCGTCGAAAACCGAAACCAAATACATTGCGACGGAATATTCTGTCGCAATCCGTCGCAATTTTTATTTTCCGTCGCAAATCATCTATTTCTTTGTTGTGACAGAATTATCCGTCGCAAACCGTAGCAAATTGCGACGGATTTTGCGACTGTTTGCGACGGATAATTTTTTTCCACGTTCTGTCATAAAATCGTCACATTCCGTCGCAATTTCCTGTGCGACGGAAATTTCCGTCGCAAATTCCGTCGCTATATGCAGGTTTTTTTGTAGTGCCTTCCCGTCCCGAACTCGAACCGTTTTCCGAAACGCTCACCTCTAGTTCGGTCTGAGTCAACCCTTTTTTCTTTCAATAATAAAAATAAAAATATTTAAAAATTAATAAAAAATATAATATTAAAAATAAAAATAATAGAAGTTTAAAGAAAAAAGTTTTGACTGGCGAGCCACCAGGCGGGCTGAACTGACCCATGATGAATTAGCTCACCGAGTCCATTTTTTCATCCTCATGTTTTTCAAGTCCACCTCGATGAAAATGAAGTAGCTCGCGAGTCGGCTCCCGAAACAGGTCCCTTCGAAATAGATGTTTACAAAACCGGGTTTCCTAGACCGAGGTCCAGACTAATCCCGGGATCGGGAGTCAGCCATGTGATTTGAATTATGCGCCCATTTTATCGGTTGAACTATTCTGTATTTCTATAGTTTTTCAAATATCAGAAGAAAAAAAACCCGAACCTGAACACAACCAAACAAAACTCAACACAACATCCAACCAATAATTGAAAGTGTGTGAATTGTCATCTTGTAACCTTCACTATCATTTGCCCAAACTTGGAAAACTAATCACACACACTTAACCATTAAAAAAAAAAAGACAGTGTGTGTAGAACCGTACAATTACCAAAACTTGTCCAAATTTAGCCATGTGCTTAATTAGTTAACTATGTCGCCACATAGATTTTTCTCTTCTACAATTATACAGCTACATATATATATATATATATACACACACTCTCGTTATATCCGTTTTGTTTACTCCGTGATAACGGTTGTAATTTGTTTATTTAGTTCTACACATTCTATTTTACAAGTGATTTATGAAACAAAAAATAATAATAATGATTTGTAAATAAATTTCACAAGTGAATCCGAACGTGTTTAAATGCTATTTTGTATCATTACTGAATTTGACGTTTTATATATATATATATATATACACACTAAATTGGTTATTGATATGTACGGAATTAACTAAAAAAAGAGCAACCCCTACTTGCGTTTGCACTCTTACGTTGTTATGTTTTGGTGTCTCTCTTTGACTATCCTCCCCACAAAAAACTGTCCTCGATTCTCAATCACTCACTATTTATGTTCATCCTCCTCTTCCACACAATAACTTCATATACACACACACGCGTATATATATACGCATGCCCTTTTGCTACATCTTCTCCATAGATTCCCTTTTCTCCTTTCGCTTAGTCTCTTTTCTTCATCGGCATCCTTTTATCTCTTAATCTTTCTGTCGGCCATCAATGGAAGCACCCGAGGAGGAGAAAGCTTTGATCCTTAAAGGGAAGAGGACGAAGCGGCAGCGTCCTCAATCGCCCATCCCTTTCTCTATCTCTTCTCCTGTTCCCGTAGAACAGGAATCCATTAGTCATGATGATGATGATCATGATGACAAGAACAAGAATCTCAATAATGGAAATGAAGAAGAGGAGGAAAAGGGTAACAATGTCGTTGTATCGTCGGCTTCTTCGTCTTCGGACAACAACGCAGTTGACGAGGAGGATCAAGATATGGCACGTTGCTTGATCTTGCTCGCTCAAGGCCATTCCCTTTCTCATCATCTCCAACAGCAACAGCAACAGCAACAACAACAGCTGATGATCCAAAACAACAACAGCAACAACAACGGGTTTAGGTTTAGCAGTAGGAGGTTTCTAGAAACGTCAAACGGTAATGGCGGCGGCGGTGCGAAAGCTGGTTACTATGTTTACCAGTGCAAGACATGTGATCGGACCTTCCCATCATTCCAAGCATTGGGTGGCCACAGAGCCAGCCATAAGAAACCAAAGGCCCTTCCTTCTGTCGGTGGCGGCGCCACCGTTTCACTTCATCTAACCAACCAGACAACAGCAGCAACAACTTCTAACAACAACAATACCCACAATGGGGTTGCCATGTACGGAAGTAACAAGGCGAGTTTACGTCACAAAGTTCATGAATGCGGGATTTGTGGTGCGGAGTTCACGTCAGGACAAGCCCTAGGTGGACACATGAGGAGGCATAGAGGGGCTGTTGTCGCTGCCGCAGCTGCTTCAGCTGTTGCTGCGACAGCTAACACGGCCTTGTCGCTGTCGCCGTTTGACCAATCCGACGGTCAAGATTATCCGGCGAAGAAGCCCAGAAGTGCGGCCGTGTCGTTGGATTTGGATCTGAATTTGCCGGCACCGGAAGATGAGGGTCGTGTCAACGGATTAGGGTTAGCTTCTAAGGATGAACCTCAAACGCAACAGCAACCACAACAGCAACAGAAACAAAGGGAAGAGCAAAAGTCTCTTGTTTTGTCTGCTCCTACATTGGTGGATTGCCATTACTGATTATGATGAAAGATGATAAATATTTACAACGAAATGTAAACAAATAAATCAAATATCGATCAAACTGTACCCAATTCAGGTTTTTTTTAATCGTTTTTTTTTCTTTACATGGATTGATCTGATTTCGGTTGTTTTCTGTATCAATCTCGTTTATTTTGTTATTATATTCCTTGCTTGTAGAATACTTGCAAGATTCCTTTGTTTTGCCAACAAGAAAGATATAATATATGATATAAATTATATTCACTTCCTTGGTCCAACTGTTACGCAGATTTTATAAAAAAAAAAAAAAATTGACGTATATATACTTTCCACCATAATCCCATTTGGCATTATATCAAAAATACCCTTACTTTGATATTTATACTTCAAGACCTACCCTTGTGACCATCTCATTTTCCAAGAAAAAAAAGTTCGATCAAAAGGGCATGGTAGATACTTTCACAAATCGATAGTGAAATCCATAAACAATACATTATCAATTTATTCGTTTATTTTGTCCCTTTTCGGTCCACATTTTCATTTTATCCATAACAAAAGTTTAGTTCCGGTGGGAGAGTTTCGGAATTCGGTTCGAAATTTTATCGGTTTGGTTTTGAAACAGTTTTTCGGTATTTTAAAATTTATACCAAATAATTAATATCGTATATTATTCAGTTTAGTTCTGTTTCGATACGATTGAGTTTCGGTTTTTATTAAAAAAATAGATTTTCTTAAAAAAAAAATCGGATTTTTGAGAATTTTATAAAATTAGATTCTGTTTCAGCAATTTAGTTCTGTGAATATATGGTTCGAAAATTTTGAAATAATACTGTTAATATAATGAGATTTTTTATTCGGTAGGCTCAAACCGAAACGATGGGTCCCACGCACCAAAAAAGATGGTTCCTGGTGAGTGGAAGTCGCGTGCCCTTGGGTTATAACCCTTATCAAATCCCAACTATTTTTTTATTTTATTTTTTCTTGGCATATTTATGCAACTTATTATAATAAATAAATATGAGAAATCTTTCAAATTTTAGTGAATTTGATATATGCAGTCGTTTCTACTCCATCAGATCTAAGTATAGATAACGGTTGAGTAATTTTTCAAAATAGTTTCAGACCATTTGCATCTTAAATTTGGGGGAAAAAAAAAATGGAAAATAACAGTTTGCCACTAGAAGAAAACAATCTAGAAATCTTAACCCCAAAGAGATTTCTCGAATTAAAAAAAAAACCAATTTAGGGTTTTTCTTTCCATTTTTAGGATAAATTGTGTGTAGTTTTATATCTAGGATATTAATATAATATATATATTATTTTTATCTAATATTCTTTTAGAATATTAAATATTAGGACCTATGAAAAAGCCAGATGTTTGAAAAAATTGTGTTACTCTATACACAACATATGAAACAATATATATATATATATATATTGATGATGTATTTGGAAATCAAATAATACGGTCTGGTGAAGAATCTATATATATAAAAGTAGAGTTGATTGATACGGGGATGACACGTGTCAAATATATATGTTAATGTAAAAGACCATAAATAGATTCAATCAATATATTTATTTATAACCAATAATTTTATTGTCATTAATAAGACGAAATTTAATTCAATACCAGATTTAATTAAATAAAATATTAAAATTTATATTCTGTTTAAGGTCTTCCTCGATATCATAATTTTATTAATGTATAATTAATTTAAGTAAAAGTCAGCTTTGAATTTATTGAATAATAACTATTTCAATTAATGAATTTAAACTATAAATGGCGGTGCTTTTAGCCCACATTCATGATGAGTATCAATCCTTTTTTTGACATTTGGCAATGTTTGAAATCAAAGACGGAAGTCCGATTCGTTCAGGTTGGTAATTCTATTTTAAATTGTTTTGTTTTTTTTTCTTTTTTTTTGGGTAAAATTGTTTTTTTTTCGTCTCGATTCTTATAATCTTTCGAGATAGTCAAATGCTTTTGTAATATACATATACGTATATTATATTTGTTTTTATATTTACTAAAAGTTAATATCTAAATATGTATGTTTGTGTATCTATGGTTCTTTTCACAATTCACGTAATAACGAGATATCTTTAAACTGCAAAAAACTAGAAACAAATTTAGTAATATCTTATTGATCAAATTAAATCAATTATAGGAATTGAAAAATCAGATACAATTAGTTATTTCAACTCATGCAGGATTGGATCAGATGAATATATATCATAATTATCGGTGTATTATGGTCAAATTTCTAAGTATATGGGACAAACAAAAGATTAATAGACAAAAGATTTCTAAGTATTATGGTCATGTATTTTCAGAGAACTCTACTGCAAAATCGATGTTGATTTCCTTCGTTATAACTTTATTAATAAATAGTCAATTTAGTTTTTGAATTCAGTGAACAATAACTACAATTACTAATTAATTCTAAGTTATAAATAGTGCTTATGTTTTCATGTACGTATTCATCAGCACCCAGTGTATGAATAGACAGATTATTTTTGTGTTTCAGGTTAGTGGTCCAATCCAGTTCTTTCAGGTTGCTATATATGTTTTTTATATTTGTTTAGTGAGAATTTTTTAATTTGCTTTGATAATAATGAAATTTAATCAACCAAACATATCACTTTGGTATTGTTATCAATTTATTATGGTATTGTTATCAATTTATTTAATATAAGTAAATAAACATTTTATTGGTAACAAAACATATATTTTAAATTTTTTACCGTTTATATCATAAATATATATTATATATGTTTATATACTGAAAGTAAAAAATTATTTTTTTGTTTTTATTTTCTATTTATTCTATTTTTTATATAGAATCAATTTTTTAAATTGATTTTAATAACAATGAATCAATCAACAAAAATAGTTTGTTAATGTTATCAATTTGTTAAACATAACTTTTAATTTGTTTGCATTATAATTTTATGTGTTTATCAGAACAGTTGCAAGTATGAGTCTTACGGATCGTTTTGATCAAGAAGCAGGTGGCAAACTTGGAGAGAAGGTATGTGTTTTTGGTTAGTTTTCACCATGTTTTGATATCATTGTGATTTATCCATTATTAATAATGACTCAGGAACTAACTATATAATTATAAAACGTTACGCGTAATGTAGTTGTAATTTTTGGTTAGCCAACATTTGAAAAGACAATCTAAATAGTTATAATTTTATTTTATATAATAACATATTTATTCTTAATTTTGTTTTTCAATTTTTACCTTTAATATTTGCTGTAGAAAAATAATGGTTATTCCACATTGGATCAACTTATAGAAGTAATAGTAAATGACAAATAGTTGTCCGTGTCATTCTTGGGAATCGCGGAACTCATGGTATATCTCTTAATTCAGTGGTAGAATAATAACAATAATATAATATAATATAATATAATATTATATTATATTATATTATATTATATTATATTATATTATATTATATTATATTATATTATATTATATTATATTATTATTATTATAGTTTTTTGTTTGGGTTTTTTTTTATGAATGTAATATTTTTCTAAAAAAATTTTTTTATTAGTTTCCTATAGAATTTGGATCAGATTATTTTAATTTTTAAAAAAATCATATCCCACCTATTTTAAATCAGATTTAATTTATATATATAATGTATAATTATATTTGTTTCTATGCAATTTTGTTGTTAACATTGAATTAAAATAATGGTAAATAAATTTTTTTATTTAAAACAACTTGCACAAATTAGATTTATTTTTTTTTCTATAACTAAATCCATACTTAAAATTTCAGACATATACGTATGTGAATATGTTTATGAAAAAAAGATTGATGGATACTTTATAACTTTGTAATCTAATATTGTTATGAGAATCCTTATAGAATAAATAAGGTATATTTATAAGAATTTAATGCAAAAAAACTTCTATGTAAACGTATATTTCAATATCTTAGTTTTAAACTCTTATATATACAAAGATATATTTTTAAATATTATAGAAAAATAAAATAGATTTGATGATGCAATACATTTATATTATTTTAAAAAATGTATAATTCCAAGCAAAATTCTTTTTAAAATTTTCTTATATTAATATCATATATAATATGTAATCTATATCTTTATTTTATTTATAAAAAGTAAAAGAATATGTTTTTATTTCTTATTTTTTGTTTAAACTGTTTGTTTTTTATATTTGATTAGTAATATTTTTCTGAATTTATTTTGATGACAATGAAGATTAATCAGCCAAATATATCATTTGGTTAGTGTTATAAATTTGTTAAATGTAAGTAAACATATATATTATATATGTTTATATATAGAAGTAAAAAAAATTATTTTTGTTTACCGACTTTTGTTTAACATGTTTGTTATATATATATATATAATTTTATTTTTTGATTTAAGTTTACTAACAATGAATCACTGGTTATATAGTTATTATTCTCCACATCTATATATATAAAAGTTTATTTAGAACAATTTGGTGGATCAACCTAAACATCACTTATGTTGCATTTTGTTAAATGTTTATTAATTTATATAAAATATAATATTTATCTGCTAATCATATTTTTAATATTTTTAATATGATATCCCACCAATTGTTGTGTGTAAATACATATATTATTTCATTCAACGATTGTCTAATTCATATAAATATAATGAATAAATATACTATATTGCAAATAATGTTGTTATTGATCAAATAAAATTTATTGTAGGAATATAAAAATCAGATGCAACCAGTGATATCAACTCATGTAGGATTGGATCAGATGAGTATACATCATAGTTATCGGTGTATTATGGTCAGATTTCTACGAATATGGGATGAACGAAATCATTTCAATGGGAATAGGTTCAATGGCATCAGATTCTTATTAATTGATGAAAATGTACGTTCTAATTAATATTGAATTTCTTATACTATGTTTATTAAAAATCTAATCTTTTCTACTTATAATGTTGCAGAAAAATGTTGTTGAATGAAAAATATTTGAGGATCATGCAGAAAATTTTAAAAATATAATAAACGAGAGATATATTTTTAATCAGACATTTCAAGATTCTACCAAATAAATATATATACAAATGAACGAACAATAAATTTCGTATTTATTTTACAGAATATACTACTATTGAAAAAGTTGTTGTAACTACTTATAATATTGCCAAAGAAAAATTTCGAATATGTTTATACGATGATTTGTTGGCGTTGGCAAACAAAAAACACGATCTACCAGGTATGTGATAATATAAAAAAAAACCAAAAAGAAAATATTGGATTTTATAATTAATATATTCTTTAATGTTGCAGATATTATTGGAGTTTTAGTCGCAATACAAGGATCAAATTTAGGAATGTCATCGTCAACTCAGAAAATTATTCTTCGTTTATTATTGGAAGAGTAAGTTTTCAAATTTTATTTATACTGCAAAAATATCATTTTATAAAATTTTAACTAAATTAGTTTTATACAAACTAACATATAATTTCAATTTAAAAACCATCAACAATATAGTCAAGCTTTCGGTATGGGATGATCTCGCTGCTGAACTCCGTTCACAAATTCATAGATTGGATGTCAGAAAAAGTATCGCAATCATTACGGGTGTAAATCCAAAGATTATTCACGGTAATTATTTAACACAAATTAATTTCTAAATATTTGATAGTTTAATATTTAAAAACCATTATTATTGTTATATTGAGTTTACTAATACATTTTATGTATCAGGTGTTCTATCACTCAACACATCAACATCTACAAAGATTTAAATAGATGAAAAATTGAACATTATAAAAAATTTCCGTTTAAGGTAAATAAATTATATCATTCTTGAAAAAAATCTATAGTTATAATATTTATCAAAATAATTTTATTATTACCTAATAACTGAATTTTTGGCAGGCATTGAAGAAAGTCACACCAGTACTAAAGACAACCATAATAAATCAGTTACAGTGAAATGGTAAAATATCTATGCAGTAATAACAATATTCTGTCATTGATTTAATTATGTTTGCAAAAAAAAAAAATATTTTTATATTATTAAAGTTTTATATTTTTTATATTTAGTTCAACTCAAACAAATTATCTTAGTTTTTACTACAATCATAATAACAAATTAAATACAAATACAAACGTCAAGTGTTTCATATCATACTACAACTCAAAATCATCATAAAATCATTACAATCAACCAAACCAATTGATTTAATAAGAACCGAAAAAATATTCAATTTTAATTTACTGATGTGGCATGTTTACGTAGTAAATTTTAATTATCTGTCCTATATTTACTTATCGCAATTCACCGAAATTTAACGTCATTGGAGATGGTGTATAAAATTGTTAAACATTTTGAGATTCGAGATTTCAAGTCTATACGATACACGCATATTATTACCTAGATTAAAAATAAAGACTTAAAAAGAAAAACGATCAACAAAATATAAAAAATGATAAGAGAAACATATAATGAAAGAAAATAGTGGTAAAAATATTACGGATATCTACAAATTTTATAAAATTTATGAATAAATTATATTTTGTTAATTATAGAATGAGATATAATACCTCATACTATTATATTTAGATTCATCCTTATTATCTTATTATTTTCACACTATGACAAAAAAATATTTTAATAGAATAATTTAAATGATAAATTTAAAACACAATTTATTATATTTAATTTTAAATATAATAAATTATTTAAATTCGTAAATATTCAGTCAGCGCGATTCGCGCGGGTTATTACCTAGTCATTATAAATTTATGATAGTTAATAAGTTTATTAAAAATGATGTCAAATCTCTTTGTTAAAATCATATTATTGAGCTGCTTTATTTTGTTGCGAGAATAGAATTCTAAGTTCAGACTACCTTAAACAGAGCCCAATAAAAGCCCAAATTTGTGTGGGCCCAAATCTAGCAGTCGGCCCAATACAAATTGTCATGCGTATGATATTTTTGTAAGATTCTTGTCGTTTTCTCAGTCAGAGTGTTGAGGCGAAATCAATAAAATATAATATATTTTTTTGTAATATTTAATAACCAAAGACAAAAAAAAAACGATATGAGATTTTCCAGAAAATTTTATTATTTACCGGGAAAAAATTGTATAAATTTTGACATTAGAGCTTTTTATTTTAAGCCCATGCAGGCGAGTGCATATACATATCCTATAATATATATTTTAGATAAGAAGATAAAACAATATTAGGTAAAAATAAAAGAGGATAAATCTGAGATGAAATTATGAAATAAAAAAATAAAAAGGGAAAATTTAGAAAATGGGAGATTCGTGTGGGCCAAAGGGTTTCGACTTTTACTTGCCTTACTGGTAAAGCATCCTCTTCCTTCTGCAACCAAAACGTACCACTCTCTCTCTCCTCTTATTATTCTAATAATTAACTTATTATTATTACTCCTATTTTATTTTTATACAAACTCATATATATATATATATATTCATATGTAAATAATAAAAAAAACATTTTAAATTTTTTTACAGTGGGTAAAAAGTGATTTCAGTGCGCAAAACGACAAAAACACGGCGCAGAGAAATAAACTAGGGTTTTACGGTGCATTCCAGAGAGAGGGAGAGATGGGAACCCAAATGCAAAGTACTTTAGTATAGGTAAGCGAGAGAAACAAATTTCTTGCAATCGAAGGTACCCTTTTCTCGGGCTTCTCTCTTCGTTTCTTCTCCGTCAATCAAAAACCCATCTTCCAACTTTTTCTGGGCACTGTTCTTCTCTCCGCAAGCAAGCGTTTTGGGTGACAGAAATAGAGGAATCGGAGCCCTAGGACAGGTACGGAATTCTATGGGTCGTGAATCGGTCGCTCTTGTGACTTCTCCGTCGGCGGCGACGCCGAATGCTCCGGCCTCTGCAGCGTCGGCCACGGCGTTGGCTCCTGGGTTCCGGTTTCACCCGACGGACGAGGAACTCGTCAGCTATTACTTGAAGAGGAAGGTTCTGAAGAGACCCGTCCGTTTCAACGCGATTGGGGAGGTCGATATCTACAAGCACGAGCCCTGGGAGTTAGCAGGTTTCGCCGTTCTCTTTGGGTTTTGTTTTCTAGGATTTGTCCGCTGTTTCTGGGCCGTGGATTTTGTCGGGTTTCGCTGGGAGACTCTGCTTGTTGCTTCGGATTTGGGATTTCGTGGGTTATGCTTCGATTATGGGGTTTGGATCTCGTGTTTTTAGGGTTCTTATAAGTGATTCTTTCCATGATCTTCTTCGGTGAGGGATTTTGCATGCTGGCTTCTGATGTTTCCCTGGAAAATTTCTGTCGAACTGTAGTTGTTGGTACTTTTGCCTATTTTTAGGTATCATAATAAGGATTTTACATCTAATCAGTCCTTTTTTCATGCTTCAAATATGCGTTTATATCAAATTTTCTAGGAATTTTTAAGAGATTCTTTGCGTTTCGAGTTCCAGCTCTGATTTCTTGTGTTTTAGGAATTGAGTTATATCAATGACGGGTCTTGTTCTGTGTTTCAGTTTATTCGAAATTGAAGACGAGGGACCAGGAATGGTACTTCTTCAGTGCATTGGATAAGAAGTATGGAAATGGTGCTAGAATGAATCGTGCAACGAACAAAGGGTACTGGAAAGCTACTGGAAAAGACAGGGAAATTCGCCGTGATACCCAGTTGATTGGCATGAAGAAGACACTTGTGTTTCATAGTGGCCGTGCCCCAGATGGGCTACGGACCAATTGGGTCATGCACGAGTACCGCCTCGTTGAATATGAAGTGGAAAAGAACGGAAGCATGCAGGTATAGTATACATACTGTCTAAAGTTTCCTCTTTTTTCGGGTTTACTCTTATGTGTTGGAAATGGGTTGCTATTATGGTGTGAAATCATCTTTTGGGTCTTTGATTGTTGTGTTGCTTATAGTTATAGATGATGAATGTAATCTTGTTGAATTACTCCAATTATTTGGAATCGAAATATGCATTGTTAGTTTAGTTCTTGCCTTTCATCTGATACCTGTGCAACGTGATTGCGTTTCTTATTCTTATCCTCCTTCTTATTCTTCGTCTCTTTTATGATTTGATTGTGAATTCTCACTCTTATATAACTTGTATTATACGTCGGGTGCAGCAAGATGCATATGTGTTATGCAGAGTATTTCACAAGAATAACATCGGGCCACCAAGTGGGAACCGTTATGCACCGTTCTTGGAAGAAGAGTGGGATAATGGTGGGAATGGAATGGCTCTCATCCTCGGAGAAGACGTTAGGGTCATGGGGGAGTCCGTACCTGTTCTCGAGGATGCCAATGGCAGTAATGAATTTGATCAGGTTTGTTTTTTGCTTTCTCTATTCTCTCGGGTTTTTTTTTTGGCAGCAAGACTGAACTCTATTAAAGAAGCTTGTTAGTTTCATACATGCAAACATCATATGAATATTTTGTGAATGCGGCGCTGGGACCAGTCCATTGATACTTGATAATGGAAGTCATTGCTAAATAGGTTATGCTGTTGCTGATGGCTGTTTAATTTTAAATTTCGGGCTTGACACTTAATCATATGCTTATAGCAATGATGGTTCCCATCCAGAATTTCCTCATTTTGAGTAGCATTTGACATCAGGTGAACTCATGCAAAAGAAGAAAGCCCGAAACCTATACTATACTGTCTTTTGGTCGAAATTTTAGTCTCGACTCTCGTACATCCGGTAAGTGGACCGACATATTTTTAGCAGGGTGATGTTCATGGGATCAAATGCTGGTTGTAATATTGTCGATGGATAATGCAGATTGCAGTCCATCAATCTTATTGCTGAGTCTGTACTTCCCTTTTTTAATATTGGTGCAGGAGATACAGTCGATGAGCAAGGATCTCATCAATATCAATGAGCTCCCGAGAGAGACTCAGATCAATAACGAATCCACGAGAGTTGTTCCCAAGCCCGACAACTCGCTCAAACATGAACGCTCCGGAGAAGGAGGAGAAGAAGAAGAAGACTGTCCTCCTCCTCTGCCTCCTTGCACGCTGAACAAAGAAGCGCCCTTACCGCTCCTCCAATACAAACGTAGACGTCAGAACGAGTTGATGGGAAACTCCCAGAACTCGAGCCGGACCACTCAAGACCACTGCTCATCCACCACTACAACCTTGACTTCATCCGCTGCTACAAACACTGCCATCTCGGCCCTGCTTGAATTCTCCCTCATGGGAACCGCCACCGATAACAAGAAAGAAAACCCGCCATTGAAACCTCACAAGGAACTGTCTGCTCCTCCTCCTCCTCGGGTGGGAAACAAAGCCGGGGAAGTGAGAGAAGCGACTCTGATGATTCCGGAGAACTGCACGAAGCTGATAGATGATCTGCAGAAGGAGATTCATCAGATGTCGGTCGAGAGAGAGACATTCAAGCTGGAAATGATGAGCGCAGAGGCGATGATCAGCATTCTTCAGTCCAGGATCGATGCTTTGCGTCAAGAGAACGAGGAGCTTCGGAAGACAGTCTTATTTTCTTATTCATGGTCTGTAGTTGGTTCTCTCAGAGTTATTGATGGTACCATTTGGGTTTGTAACGGCTAGTAGCAGTGATTCTCTTGTGGGCTGTCTTACGCGGCTTGTCCATTTTCTGTTCAAGTAGTTTAGCTTCTGAATCATATTTCTCTTTTGCAGAAGCCTGGCAATGATGAGATCTTTGATGCGATTCCTCTACCATCGAACTTTTATCACGGGGAATCAAGCAATAATATTGAATCCGGTAACTACTCAGAGTCTGGAAACTACATCCAACCAGGGAACTATGTGGACACCTCCTGCTACTTTGCGCAACCAAGAGCGGCCCCGTCAAGGGACAATGAACGAGCAATCTCAGGTTCCGCCCTTTTCCTGGTTCGTCAATTGCCGTAATTTATGTGCTACCCTCTTCGTTTTCAGGTTCTAATATGATCGAGACCTCGATCTCGGATGTGAATTCTCTCTGTTGTAAAATTAGGTTAAGTAGGAACAGAGACAGTATGTTTCTATGTTCCGTGTCTTTCGGGAACATCTGAAGTCATGCTCTGTTTTTCATATATTGTTCTATCTTAGTTTTGTCCTGAACTCCATTGGAAGTAAGAGCTAATTTCCGAGAGGTTCTTGGTGTTGGTAATTCTGGTGAAAGAGGAGGGCATATCCGTCATTTCTTTCTAAGATTTTGGTTACGCGATACGGTATTACGGATGTGGTCGCATCAGCGGACACGAGGAAGCTTTTGTTTCACGTAATTGCTATTTTTTTTTAAAGTTTTATAATCTCTCTAATTTATTTTTGATATTTTTTACATTTTATTCGGGAAAAATATTGTTTTATTTTTTCCATGAAAAAAGCGGGTTTAAATCTTGACTCTCTCATATTATATATATATATATATATAATATGTATCTTACCATTTCTTTTCATTAATAGTATTTGGTGGTTTTCAATTGAAATCATAATTATATATATAAAAAAGAATGCGGAACAAATATAAAACAGCAAAAATTGCGCCTTTACATGTTCTAGAATCTGCGGTTTGTCCACGATGTCCACGTGTCATCCTACAAGAAGCTGTCACTGACTAACCGTCCTCGTTCTGTCACCGTAAATTCTCTCGATGGCACCTACTTGGAAGATATAATAAAGCCTCCAACTGCGAAAGTTTCGTTCTTTTCGTTTTCCGAATTGCGAATGGTTTCTTCGTCGTCTCTCTTCTTCGTCTTCCCTATTCCCAATTTCTAAAACCCTAATACTCTGATTCGATTCTTTTCTTCTTTAGTTTTGATTTAACGGATAACCTTTGATTTGATTTAATCTGGAATTTCGGTCCACCGATTGATGGGTCGCGGCTCAGTGACCTCGCTTGCTCCCGGGTTCCGCTTCCACCCAACGGACGAAGAACTCGTTCGCTACTACCTGAAGCGGAAGATCTGCAACAAACCCTTTCGGTTTGACGCTATCTCCGTAATCGACATATACAAATCAGAGCCGTGGGATCTCCCAGGTCATTCCTTTTTGACTTTTCTGTCTCTTGGTCGATAGATCGAATTGTTCTGCTTGTGTATGCGGGATGGTGTTTGTTTTCGGAATTCAGCTTGATTTGGTATGTTTTTAAATGGAAACAGACAAGTCGAAGCTAAAAAGTAGGGATTTGGAGTGGTACTTCTTTAGCGTGCTGGACAAAAAGTATGGAAATGGGTCGAAGACGAATCGGGCAACCGAGAAGGGTTACTGGAAGACAACAGGGAAGGATCGGGAGATTCGTAATGGTCCAAGGGTCGTGGGGATGAAAAAGACCCTTGTTTATCACAAGGGTCGAGCTCCTCGTGGGGAGAGGACCAACTGGGTTATGCACGAGTATCGTCTTGTTGACGACGAGCTGGGAAAAGCCGGCGTGGCTCAAGTAAGATTGTGAATGGAGTTTATTGTTTTGTTCTTGACCAATTGATTTTACATGTTGATGCCATGGATTGTTTTGTTGACTTGAATGGCTGTTGTTGTGGTGGTGGTGTTGCATAGGATGCATATGTGCTGTGTAGGATATTTCAGAAAAGCGGATCTGGGCCTAAGAATGGGGAACAGTATGGAGCTCCATTTATTGAGGAGGAGTGGGAGGATGATGAGATGGTGTTTGTGCCAGATCAAGATGCTATGTCTGATGAGGGATTGGCTGTCGATGATAATGATGTTTATGTCGACATGGATGACATTGATCAGGTATGTAGATGCATAGGTCTTTGTTTCTATTTTATACCCAAGATTGTATTGATTTGCAAGGATTTAGGGCTGAAATGCGTCATGTTTTTTTGCTTTGTGGTAAAGATATTTTAGCATTTTCTACTTTAGACGAGGAAACTGATATGGTATATTCAGGATGTAAACTGGGAAAGTGTTGATAATGGAAATTCAAGGTTAAATATGTGCCTTGTTCTTTTCCCATACTCTTAAGATGGGAAATATATGATGCGGTACAGTCTTATTTTCTTATTCATGGTCTGTAGTTGGTTCTCTCAGAGTTATTGATGGTACCATTTGGGTTTGTAACGGCTAGTAGCAGTGATTCTCTTGTGGGCTGTCTTACGCGGCTTGTCCATTTTCTGTTCAAGTAGTTTAGCTTCTGAATCATATTTCTCTTTTGCAGAAGCCTGGCAATGATGAGATCTTTGATGCGATTCCTCTACCATCGAACTTTTATCACGGGGAATCAAGCAATAATATTGAATCCGGTAACTACTCAGAGTCTGGAAACTACATCCAACCAGGGAACTATGTGGACACCTCCTGCTACTTTGCGCAACCAACAGATTCATCTGAGGAAGATCAGAAGCCTATAATTCGTACTGGTGAAATTCAGCCCGTCTTAGTGTTGCCCGACGAACAAATTGACTGTGATGTCCAAGAAGAAAACACAGATAACTTCCAAACCCCCAACAATATATTTTCAGCTGAGACTAGTTACAGTGGCATTCCCGATGATAATTATTTGCTTCAAGAGCCGCTCATGGATCCTGACAACAATCTTCCTTTGAATGATGGACTTTACCTGGAAACCGATGACCTCAGCCTTACAAATCACGATAGTTTCAACTTTGAAGATTATCTTACCTTCTTTGACGGGGACGATGAGTTTACACCACAATTGACTTTTAATGCTTCTCAATTGGTGGGGACTGAAGGTTCTGTTCCTCATGTAGAGGGCATCACCGAAAAGGTAAAGACAATTCATCTTGTACTTGTTTTGATCTCTTGTAGTTTGTAAGACTTCCTGATTATCGTGGAAACTCACCTTTATGCCAAACAGGCTGTTCCAGAGGTATTGGAGAAAGAAGCGTCGACAAGCAAACACGTGATGGAAGAAAAGGACAAGAGTGAAGCATCTTGCTCGAGACAAGATCCAGATGCCCTGAAGTTCGAGTCAGGTAATGCTATCTGTTCCTCAAGAAAAGGGCAAGAGGGAAGCATCTTGTTCGAAACAAGTACCCGTTTCTAACTGTTTTGAATGTGGATTAAACGCAGATTCAAAGTACCCATTCCTCAAGAAAGCCAGTGAAATGCTGGGAGCTATTCCGGCTCCTCCGGCGTTTGCTTCAGAGTTCCCGACAAAGGTGGCTGCGATGCATCTGCATTCAGCTGCACAATCTTCTGGCTCAGTTCATGTAACAGCAGGTATGATCAGAATATCGAACATGACTATAGCAGCAGGAAGTGGAATGGACTGGTCATACGGGAAGAACGGGAGCCTAAACGTTGTCCTCTCTCTCGGGCTGGTGGAACAAACGGAGACGGGCAAGTTGGGAAGAACGCTGTCAAGGGCAATGTTGATCTTTGTGTGCTTCTGGGTCCTAATATTATCAGTTAGCTTCAAAGTAGGAACCTTTGTCTCTGCCAGGTGATAGTGAAATGATGACACCCTATGGATGCCATCGCCATCTCACCCTCAGGGGGGTGTTCTCGTTTTTGTGTTTTTTTTTAAAACAAATTATAGGGTTTACTTGCAGTGTGCTTGCTGCATCCATCTTTTTCTCTTTCTCTTTTGTTTTTTCATGGTAACGTATTGGTAGTCGAACTCTCATTTCTAGCTCCAAGAAATAATGAGAACTTCTGATGAACCTAGACTATGTTTCTTGCTCTTCATTCTTTGCTGTTCTATTTCCACAACTGTAAACTCAATTTTAGTGTACGACCAACTGCAATAAATAACCAGCTTCAGATATTGTTGAAGTTCTGGTTGGTTTGGGTATTCCAATTTGGCCTTGTGACCAATCTGTAGTCGAAGCACAGCTGTTATGACATATATGTATGTATATAGCATGAGTGTAATGTAACGTAATGGGATGCTCGCCTACTTTTAAATGTTACAAGACTAAGACAAGTACCAAAACTTGAACCGATTGCAATAAATAACCAACTCCAAACGATTGATTGTATCGTCAAAGTGAAAGAAAAAGAACAAGAACATGAGAACAATGATCAAAGAAAACGGTTCCTAGAAGGATTGAGCTCTGCTTCAAAATAATAGATCTTTGGATATGGAAGAGAAGCCTGTTCAAACGAATTCCCGTGTGAAAGAACGAGAAGACAGATTTTTCTTTTTTGGCATGGCGCAATGCTCGGATGAACATGGAAACCGAGACAAGAGGAACGTTAATCGGAGGCCCTCTCTGAAGCTGAGGCGACTTTCTGTTTGATCATGGACTCGGCTTGATGAATCGCTCTTTGTGAGCCTGTGATCGTGACTTTCCTGTCCGAAAGCATTACGACAAGAGACTTAGTTTCATACTTCAAATGTGTTTTGTAATAGTTGTGCCAATGCCAAAAGGATTCACCTTTCGTTTGTTCCGGAAATGAAATCACCTCGATCTGATATTTTTACTCTGGCACCAGTCATCTGCAGCATTATATCACAAAGGATACTCTCAGGGTTGAGCATTGTGAGAGTTAGTTTAGGATTTTAGAAAGGAAACGACGCGAAAATTCCACACAAACCTGAGTGATTTCCATGACACTCCTTCCTCCACGACCAAGGACCAATCCTATATGCTCATCCGAAACACCTATGGTCACCGAGTTGTTGGCATCTTCCTATCCAATACGAAAAAAAAATTGATCAATAGGGGTGGTTGGATAGATTTTCAAACTATATACTGAAAAAGTGAAGCACTATATATACTGAAAGGCAGTCAAAGATGCTATTCTGACATTGATTTCTATGGTTCCTCGTCGTGTCCTCAAGAGATCACCAAATTCATATATCTAGTTCCCGCTGGAGATTTAACCGAAATAAACATTTCCAATCACTTGTACTGAATTGTTTCCACGATGACTATCTCAACACATTCAAACACTCTCCTTGATGAGCCACTAACATGCCAACGAAGATCTAAGATGATACATGAGCATTCTCCTAAGCAATGAATAGAGCCATTCTTCGCAAAAGAAGCATTATAAATAAGATCTATGAGACAGAGAGATAATGAGAAGGGAGAAGACCTTGTGATTTTGAAATTTGCCTCCAGTACCGTTGGGCGCATAATTAATCGAGTTGTATCCCGCTGTTGCAACAGAAGGAAGCACATACGCATATGGATGACCATGAAAACCAGAGCAGAAAAGACCTAAAATTTCGAGTTAATGGGACCTTACAACAAATCAATCTTTACAACAAACAACATTATCAGCCAAAATTGACCAGAAAAACCACAGGCGAGAACAACCTAAACTCACTAAAACATCTTCCTTGAATGTTCCACTGGTCAAAAGATATGATCCGGCATCTAGGATGTCTGGGTTTAGTACATTGAGACTAACTTTAACCTCAAATTAAGAATCTCATAACCTTGTTTGACCAGATTCAGGTAAATTCTGCAACTGTGCTCTTTAAGGATTTAGTTAATATTCTCATTTCCAGCTTATCCTCTTTCATCTTTTCTTCACCCGGAGAATACAACACATTAAATTGTAATCGGTGATTAAACTAAAAAAAAGCCTCGTCTTTTCTTATGAAACAATAAGTTATGCTATCCGGTATTGTATGAACATGTTAAGCCTGGTAATATGACATGCCTAACAGAGGTATATAACGGATTCCTATATTGCATTCTCCTCTTGCATAAATGAATGAACATCTTTGTACTTCAATAGACTATCAAAGCAATGCGGAACATGACAGCATAAGGAATTGCTACGAGAATCATGGACACCACAAATGAGCTAGCTAAGTAGATATACCTGCATATGAAAATGGGGAATGCACATTCTGAGAGTAATGTGCATCTTCAGTAAGCTTAGCCAAAATCAAATCGATTGCCCGCATCTGCTCCTCTAGGGTTCCAGTTAGTGTCACAAGCCTGTCACTCAACCCATAATAGGTATTATCCAGAGGCGATATCTTTATACCAGCTTTGGAGTCTTCGATAAAGGACCTGCATCAACACAGAGAAATGTTTTAAGAGTTGGCGGCTACAGTGCTACAGTTGTCAACATCACATATCATATTCAAGCATTTTACGACAAATATCCATGATTTGAAGCATGCGGCGATGTTGCTGTATCCATGATTGAAGCGCACACACATAAATGAGATCTAATACCCAAAAAGCCTAGCAGTGAGACAACATAACTTCCTCTACTACAAGGTATGAACATCGGGAGAAAGAGGATACAAATGACAACGCTGAGTATCAAATATGATTACATAAATTCTTGTTATTGATTGGAGAATTGATTTTCTATAGGAAATAATTGTACCGGAAAACAGATTAAGGAAGCTCTGACTCACAATCTTATAATGCAAATCACAGTTTCAATAACATCATGAAATCCATTGAAATGAAAATAGAAGGTAAACTTACTTAATGGTGGCCCCTCCTTTTCCAATTATACTTCCACATGAACTGTTTGGAACCACAAGTCTTATTCTTCTCCTAGGCTCAGCATCACTACCATCTTCAGCATAAAGCTAACCCAAAAAGAAAATCATGATTGAGATCATATTATTATATTAACACCTGAGCACATGTATGTTACATTGTTACTCAACACTGCTAAAATTACCTCACTATTCAATTTATCAAGAATAAGTTCCAGTGCATTGACAACTTCTGTAATTGCTCCAGATATCATAATGATTCTATCAGTAGTTCCTGGGAAAAATTCTTGATTGCGTGAGAGCTGGATTCGAGCCCCCGACTTTGACTGAAAATCAGTGATTGTCGAGCCACCTTTCCCAATAACAGAACCAGCTGCCGCATTGGATACAAGAAAACGAACGTGCGTAGGCTTCTCAGCAGATTCTGCAAAGGAGAAATATGTTAGTCACTCCCCAGAAATTCATCTTCTTACCAGTAAAGATATGGTCATTAACCCACAATACAACAGAATCAAAACTTTGAAGTGAAAAATAACGGTAAAAAAAAAAAGATTCAGCACTAACTCCGCTTTATGTTCCGACAAGATGTAAAGGCAATCCGTGTTGCATTAAAGGTGACAAAAAGCTTTATGCCGACCGCTCATCCGACAGTATCAATCATACCAACTACCACGAACCGTACAAAAGTCCAACATAAAAAATGAGATGTGTTTTTTTCACAAATATCATTCTGACCTCACTCACTCTCGGAATCATTACACGCAGTGAATAAAAGTGAATTCAAATCTTTCCTTAAATTCGTCAGAATCTAACCAAATTTGCGCTGATGATTGAAACCCTCGTCTAGCAGAAATGTAAGGCAGAATGTAATGTAACTATTCCATCCTTGCAAAATCTACCGCAAAAAATCCTCTCTGATATTTTTTGTGTGTTTAATCCTGTAGACTTATGCCGTTTGTTTCTCAAACGGAAACAATTGCCCATATACGAACTCAATTCAGAAAATTTTGAGGAAGCCGATTCACGAAGAGGTAAAAGAATTGCCCAACGTAAAAACAAATCGAATCAAACGCCAAACATCTGAGCCACGAAAATGCACTATCGTCGCCTCAATAACAAGAAAAAAATAACCCAGAAATACGAAAGAGCAGATCGGATCGGAAATACCTGCTTCCGACTGATTCTGCTCCTCGTGAGATCTCTTCGTCAGCTCCTCGGGAGAATCCGCCGCATAGGACTCGTTCGACTCCATTTCCGCTGAGAAAAACGCAGATAAGAATCGAATCAGTCAATCGACATTGCCGAAACAGCGAAGCTCAGGGGGAGAGAGGGAGAGAGAGAGAGAGGAATCGTTCAGAGAAATCTGATGTTCGTGAAGCTCGAAGCTCCAGACAGGGCCACCTCTTGGTCTTGCTTCTCCTTCCACGACGTGTTCGTCGTCTTTATCGCCGAGCGGTTTGTGAACTGAAGGTGGCTCTGGTCTCCTGCGCCTATCTATCCATTGGGCCGCTTCGTTATATTCTAAATACTATTATTTCCTTTTTATTTAAATAATAAATAATGCCTTCTAGTCTTGTGGACCGCCTCGCCATTTATATGTAGTTTTTATTGTATATTTTTAATATAAATTCAAAATATAATGTTACCGAATTTATACTATATACAAAAAAAAATCCACATTTTGGTGAGTTTTTATCGTTAATTCGCATATTTTAATTTTAGATATAGAAAAACTCAGTATATCATAATTGTCTTTGATTTTTGTGTGAATTATTACAAATAGAATAGAAATTGTTGCAACCCACATTTTAATTTTCATTTCTAAAAAATCAACGGCAAAAAGATAGATGATTTAGTTTATAAATGGGCCCTTAACCAAACTTGGGCCTCAAAAATAAAAAAGGCCCAAATAAGATCATTCAGCGTAGGTTAGCCTTTGTCATACCTCTTCATCTAACATACGCAGACGAAGGCTCGTGGTGGGTCTGCCGTCTTCGTCGTCGCAAAGGCTTATCCCTAATCATCTCTCTTTCTTCTGTGATAAAGCTGAGCCGTTAGCCGTTACTTTCTCTCTCCTCCAAAACGCTGCCGTTTCAGCTATGGCTTTCAGCTCAGCTGCTACGTCGTCTCTGAGACTATCGTCTTTGTCCTTCTGCGGGAAGAAGACGAACCGAAACCCTAGAAATCCACCTCGATCACTCCCCTTCAATATCACCTGTTCTTCTTCCTTGAACGAATCTCCCAAGCCCTCTCCTTCTCCTTCTCCTTCTTCGCCGCTTCGTGTCTCGTCGAGATCTGCCCCAAAAGCGCGCTTCATCGCTCGCCGGAAAGAGGCCGTCTCCGTTCGCCAGCTTCAGCGACCTCTAAGTAACGTCAGCGAAATATTTGCTGTTTTTTTTTTTATCGATTTAGGTTTTTTTTGTGTTTTGTGGATTTTGGTCAAATCTTAGTTGTTTTTTATGGTTTTGCAGTCGAGTATATGAGCTTGCCGGCGAGTCAATACTCAGTGCTTGACGCGGAGAGGATTGAGAGAGTTGATGAAAATACGTTTAGATGCTATGTTTATACATTCAAGTTCTTCAGCTTTGAAGTTTGCCCTGTTTTGCTCGTCAGAGTTGAAGAGCAGACCAATGGCTGTTGCATCAAGCTTTTGTCTTGCAAGGTATTGCTTCAATATTTCTGCTTTATTTTCTAAGATACATTGATTGGGTTGCACTGGGTTGGTGCTAATTGCTGATTGAACACATGAAGTACGGTAAAGGATTGAACTTTTTACTTCTGATCATGATGGTTCTTCGTTTTCTGGTGCTAGCTCGAGGGATCTCCCATCGTGGTTGCACAAAATGACAAGTTCGATGGTAAATGTAGCTTCTTATCTTGCCCTACATCACATGCTATTGGATAATCCATTCTGTGTGTTGTTTACCAGATGTATATGCCCAAGCTGTAGTTACTCGTGTTGTGTGTTGGTAGTGCAAATACTCTTTCTGAAGGTTTGTATATGCGATATATAGGCTTAATATTTGTCATTTTCTAGTCATGCAGCTTCTATGGTGAACCGGGTATCATGTGATGTCACTGGAAATAACTCATCGGTTCAACAAATCACTTCAGATGCAGTCATCGAGGTAGTTCTTGGCTTTGTTTTGCTGTTAATCGGTTCACTATTTCATGCTTCATGTGGAATGAAGCATTGCTGACTTATTTTGGAAACTTTTTAGGTCAGCATTGAAATTCCATTTGCATTTAGAGTGATCCCAGTGGGAGCGATAGAATCAACAGGGACCCAAGTTCTTGATCAAATTCTTAAACTCATGCTACCCCGCTTTTTGGCTCAGGTAATGCAAAAATCATGTTTTCCACATTTCCTTACATGCATGATCTAGATTTAAGATCACCCCTAAAAATACATCCAAAACAACTCGTAGTGCCGGCCAGTTGTTCTTTCATGAACCGGGTTTTAGTTTCTGATGTTAATCAAACCCAAACCAGACACATTCAGCTCAATGATTATTGCTTTTGATAATTGTCTCGCCCTTCTAGACTAGAGTACTAACTAGAACCATGTCACGGTTTGGCTGCATCAAGTCTTTCACTAAACCCATAACCAGCTGCAAGCCCTTGGAAGAATCGAATAAGGGAATTTTTATATGAAATGCAATGTTCCAAATAGCTATAATTCAGAATATCAGGTTGTGATTTGTCTTCTTATGGCACATCTATATTCTCAATTTGCCATCTACCCGTTTTGAGCAGCTTGTGAAAGACTATCAAGCATGGGCTTCTGGAGATATTTCAAGGCAACCTCTGGGAACCGGTGAGATTTGATATCAAGCGACTTGATAAAACCTCCCATGGAGGTTTGCAAGGTCTCGTTCTTCTTGTGTATGTTTTTTTCTTCGGCTTTAGGGTTACAGATCTATCTACTATCCCTAGTTCCAGGTTGACGTTCTGTTGTAGTTCTATCCATATTCCGAACCGAAATGTCTTCTTGGACCGACACCCGAACATATTTGTACATTTCAGTGGAATAAAATTTTCTCACTATCTTCATAAATGAATCTATACATGGGTTTTTATACACAGAAAGAATAACAAATTTGTAACAGATTTCTAACAAATTTACAAAGAATGAAAAAGCATGGAGAAATCTGTTCGAACAGATTTCCTTCTTCAACCTCTCGCCGTTCTCTCCTTCCCAAACCAATTTGTTACTCACATTAATTAGATGGGCTTCTCATGGGCTTCACACCAGGCCTTCTTCTTATTATGGGCCCGCATATTATATCCGCAATAGTACAGAAGGATGAACCCTAGTGTCCTTTGGTTCAACTATAATATGTTCTGAATGGCCTATTATAGCTTCTAATAGTTCTATATTTGGTGCCCCTTGCACTGCTTTTTTCGGATCGACACCCTCGGGCCGAGTGCGGACTCGGGCCCTAAAAGAAACTCTGATATACACGTTTGGTTTCACCGACGTCCAATCTGAGAATTTCTGATTCATTTGTCCTCCAATTAAATTTTTGTGTATTTGCAAATACGCCCCTAAATTATCCACTGCCGAATTTCATATAATCCGTCCACGTGTCCATCAAATTTTAAAATTGGAATCCAATTGGTGAAGAAAATTTTTCTAAAGGTATGCCTATGCGATAACCACAAGAAAAGTATGAGGTTTTCTGCGAACAAAAGAATATCGTTAATCAACAATTAATATTGGATAAAAAAATCATCAATTATATAACTTATTTTTAAAAAAATTATTGTAAATTTGTTAGAAAAACTATCAATTATTATTTTTAAATATTATACATGATATATTTAAATAAATATTATATTTTTAATATAATTTTTAGAATTGTATAATATATCTACATATATATGTTTTTTTTAATTTTATATATTTTATAACAATTGTTTTTAATAATTTAGATAGTTGATATTTTTTTTATTAAAACTAATAATTAATTGATTTTTTATAAAAAAAAATTAATAAAAAACTATTTTTAAATGGTTAATCCAAATAAAACACTTAACTTTACAATTTTAACAAAAAATATTGAAATTTCTTTTATCAAATAAATATTAAAATTTTTAAGTGGGTATAAAAAAATACTAAATTTTTTAAGTGATCTAAAAAATGATTTTTTTTAGGGATTTTTTTAAATAAATTATTTTTTATGAATAGTCAATGATTTTTTCTATAATGCATGTGAAGCCAATTTAGAGATAATATTCCATTTTTTAAGAGATATTTTTTGGATTTTTTGAAAAATATAATTGGGTTGAAAGTTTAGTTAGATTTTAGATTATAAAAAAATAAAAAATATAATTGTTTTTACGAGTTTGTCCTTGAAAAGATGACGAGTGAAAGAAACGTTCGAATCAATGTCGTTATCGTAATCATCGATCGTCTTTCCAAAAGACCCAGACGTATAGTTCCATTGAATCCCATGGCTGTCTCGTTGCCTTTCTCTCCGATCAGCCACTGGCTCTCGGTCCCTCCGTCTCGTCGGAGCTACGGTTACGACGAACCGCCGGCGAAGACGCGGTTCTCTCCGGCGAGCTCGTTGCCTCCTTGCGTCCTTGGTGCGAGCTTCGCGACGGTGTCGGCCGCTGGTTGGCGCGTCCGCCACCACCTGATCTTCACCACGGCGGCGGGGGTCGCGATGGATCCGGTGTTACAGGACGTCGGAGCTACGGCGGCGATTCTCGGCGGCGCGTATTCTCTCGTCTTCGCCTTCAAGAATCTCACGAAGCGAGATTTGATTCCGCAGGTTTGTTTCGTTTATAGTAGCCGCATTTTGATGATATCGTTTTCGATTTCTTAGGGAATTTAGCAGAGTAAACCGTTAAAAACTCAAAATCAGTGACATTGTAATTTGAAAATCCTATTATACGTTCAATCAATTGTTTTATTTTATTCGTAATCAGCTTCTTCTACTCGCATTCGGCTATTATGATTTCTATATTTAGAAATTTAGAATTCAACATCCCATAGAGGGGTTTAGGGTTGGTTCTGGGATGGGATTGAATTCAATGATAATTCCAAAAACTGTGGTAATTAGATGCAAAACACGGCTATGAAGCTTTAAATATAGTGTCGACAATCTGCAGAAGCAGAAGAGAGCAATTATTGAATCGTGTTGTACCAAAAAAAAAGTTTTTTTGAAGGGTGAGTTTAAAAGATGAACAAATGAACGTGCGGAATAGAAAACCAGTAGAAACAGGACAAAACTAATTTTGTTTCCTGTTTTGTTGTCCTGATTATTGATGAAGAATCTATTTCGATTGAACTCTTGTTTTCCATGTTTCTAGCAAACCCGGGTTTACATCCTTTACACATTCCTCTTTCTTTTTTTCGAAAATGTTACCAAGTCTTTTGCAAGTTTCCAAGAAACTTAAAGATCTGAAATTGATATGATTTCGTTGATTAGATGCTGAGTGAGTGTCATACATTTTGATGGTATCTGACGTATCAGCACCTGTAGATTCTTGATTGTTCTGGGAAATATTAGAGCAAACAAGAAGGTTTTCTCCTGTTGCTTTGTGGCAGAGTTTGAGCAGAAAGCTTGTGCATATACTATCAGGGCTGCTTTTCGCCCTTTCCTGGCCGATCTTCAGGTTTATTTTTTTTGCCGCTCTCATCTCGTGGATGCAAAATTGTCGGATTTCCTTGAGGATTTCAGGAATTTCCCTTGACAACTTCAGCTTTTGATCGTTTTAATCTTAGAGTAGCGCATCAACAGAGGCCCGATACTTTGCTGCTTTGGTTCCTCTAGTGAATTGCCTGAGGCTTCTTGTCAACGGTTTATCTGTATCTCCCGATGCCTCGCTTATCCAATCTGTAACCAGAGAAGGGAAAGCAGAGTAAATACCCGCACTCACCTCACCCTTATTCTTCTGTTCTGACTGAATTATCTTCCTATTAGTGTTTCTGAAACCGCTCACTGTTAATTTGCATGAACATGTAATCATTCCAGAGAGCTGCTTAAAGGTCCTTTGTATTACGTTATCGTATTGATCATCACTGTGCTCATGTTCTGGAGGGATTCTCCTATCGGTATGATCACATTGGCAATGATGTGCGGCGGCGACGGTAATTTCTCGTCTCTTGTCCCTAACCTCATTCACCAGATTTTGCATTTCCACTACCTATATATCTCCAAGTACGTGCTGTTTTAAACAATGACTGAATCGCTTTACATTCACGCTCTGTTCCGGTGTTGAGATAATAATTAGATCCACACGACTGATCCATAGGAATAGCTGACATCATGGGAAGAAGGTTCGGTTCCCAGAAGATTCCTTACAACCCAAGAAAGAGCTGGGTAGGAAGCGTCTCCATGTTCATCGTTGGCTTCACCATCTCCACGGGGTAAACCTCAAACCCACGATCATATATATATATATATATGCACACACACTCTTCTCTTTGAATAGGAAATAAGGTCTCTGGTTCTGGAGAAATAAACCCTAGATGACGTAAGGATCACCATAATTCAGATGTTTTCGATTACGCAGAGTACTCTACTATTACTCGAAACTCGGATACCTGAACTTGAATTGGGATACGGCCCTTCAAAGAGTGGCGTTGGTTTCGTTGGTGGCGACGATTGTCGAATCGCTTCCTATCACCGATCGTTTAGACGACAATCTATCGGTTCCGATGGCAAGCATTGTAGCTGCGTACGTAAGTTTTGGGTATTAAACATATGATGCTTATTATTGTACCTTCATGTCTTGTTTCCCACGGCACTGTCTTGATCCTTTGTATGTAGTAATTGTAATGGCGACATCTTTTATCCAACATGTAATGATGCTGAGACTGGGTCTTGGTTTCTCGTACGGACAAGTATGGGTTCGTTGTACCGTACTGAACTGTACTGGTCTGGTGCTGAGAAAATTGTTTAGGGTTTTATTATTTTATTGTTAATGTAACAGAATCTCTGGTCCGACAGGAATTAAGTGGAGCAGGTGTTCGAGATTCTCTCATAGGAATCTCTGCAAGAAATCTACCAGAAACTTTCGACGATTCTCAGATTGATCAAACGTCCTGTTAAGGAATTAAGAAAATATTAAAAAAATAGGGTTCTCACCCTCCAAAAAAAAACTTTTTTTTTGTGGATGAGGAGCATGATTGAAATGCATGTGCCAGGTCTCTCATATTTCATCCAATTTTCCTCTTCTCAAATCCTTTACCCTCCATCAAATTCCCCTCTCTCTCTCTCTCTCTCTCTCTCTCTCTCTCTCTCTCTCTCAACAATTGGTAACAAAATCTCAAATAACTAGATGAACTATAAAAATTCCAAGCTTTTGTCTAAACGATTTAAACGTTGTTTTACAGGCGCACATATGATTTATATTTATATATATATATACACACATATAATATATATTTCCGGTGCACATATGAATTTCATAAGAGATGTATATTTATCGATCACCAAACAAAAATGGAAACAGAAAACAAAAAAAAAAAAAGACGAGGAGAAATTGGCTCAGCTACTAACATTCAGTATTGTTCTCTTTGAGAGCTAGAGGTTCATACATAGGGGGCGGTTTCAATGGGGTCACGAATTTGATTAATAACCAATCAATCTCAACAAAGAAAAAAACCAAAAATTTTAGAACATTTTTTATAAATAAAAACTAAAAGTGAATTAAACCATATTCGATATAAAAAAACAACGAAATGGTCATACTATTTTTAAAGAAAAATCACATATAAATATTCAAGCGATAACAAAAATCCCACATAAATATCTAAAATATAAAACTTCTAAATAACTATATAAAGTTTTCGAAAAGTTTATATAAATATTTGAATTTTCTATTTTTTTTTCAAATCAACCAGTGTCAAATTCGTCAATTGACAACGTTAAATTATGTAACTGAATCTGACAACAAACAATGATTTGGCGATCGAAAATCCAAATCATCATCTATGCCACATGCCATATCATCTATACCGGTTTAGTATTTGAAATTGTAATACATCCAAATCGGTTTGAAGTGAATGATTTAGGTTTTTTGATTTTTTAAACCCTATTTGGTTCAATTACAATTTCAAGTATTAAACCGGTATAAATAACGTGGTATGTGACATGAACAAATCAACAAATCACCGTTTGTTGTTAGATTCCAAAGGTCGACCACTTCCATGTTCGTACAAATTTTTGCATGTGAAGCAGAGAGAGAGAGAGAGAAGATGAATCACAGTGTAACGTATGCATATTCGTACAAGTCATGGAGTAGTTGAATTTACTAAACACAACACTTGAAAACGGCCAAAAACAGAAACTTAACCATTTATTATCTTTATTCCATTATACAGAGAGTATTCCCACCCACAAACATTGGGGGGGGGGGGCAAAAATGGTATTTTACAGAAACATCCCTTGACTCCACATGACATAACAATCTTACTGATAATCCCCAAAACAAAAAGAATCGGAATTCTAACAAAAGAGTTAAATATCTTCTTACCAGAGATGAGACATTGCTTCAGATACCGTGAGTGTCTTCTAGGCGACAGTCATTCCCTATGAGCCTCTCGTTTCCCTTTACATTCTTCCTGCTTTTGCTATACAAATCCTAAGATCCAGACCTCCATTCTAAAACGCTGTGACGCTGTTGCTGTCGCTAATCGCTAACCGCTGTTTCCACGGAGATTCTTATCCACGAATTTCTCTTTCTCTCTCCGTCCGGAGTCCTGTCAGTGCTTATTGCTTCCGTCGAAATGTGGGTCTGTGTTGTGACTTGTGAAGCTTTTTCATTCGGATGGGAAGTAGCTGTCGTAGATGGAGACCCGATTTAACGCGTCGAAGTTGGCTTTTAACCCGACAAACTGGCTTCCCAGCTGGGCACAACCTGCGTCCGGCCATCTGCATCCTCCCTCTCGCGTACCTAACGGGCAGAAACCTTCGCAAACTCTGCTTACAAGATTCTCGGGACTATTTCCCGATACATCCGAGTCGCCATCCCGATCCCATTGCCTGTGGTTCTCGGATGGTCTCTTTGGAGGGGAGTGAGAGAACATTGGCGGGTTGCTCTCGACGTCAACTGTGCAATCCCCGGTCTTTGTGAAGTTAACCTTGCATCCCAATGATTGGACGACTCGTTTTATCGCTGCACATTCCTTTGTTGCTCTGTTTTCAGATTCTCTAGCCGAGCAGCTCAGCTGTCTCTCTCTTATCAACTCTGCACCCAACGACTCCATTGCACAAGCCATCTCCTCGACCTTCTTTTCCACTGCTTCTTTCTCCTGTTTCATGTTTTTTCACCCAACCCGAGAAACAATCAAGACATTTACTTGATCATAATAGAGTTGAAGTTAAACTTCGAATCAGGACTCCCTGAACAGAGAAGAAAACGATAAAAACTGAACAAAAGTTTCGAGATTGCTGAGCTTCAACGAGAAGAAAGAAGGGGAACCCTTTCCAGCAGTAACTTTCTCTCCAATAGATGTGTCATGTGGTTTTTTAATATTTGCCCAGGATATGGAAGGAAGAAAGGAGTCGAGCTCCAAAACCAGGAAGGGAAAGAAGGACGAGTTACCTTCTGCGTTTCAGAGTACTTCACTGCCATGGCTCTACACTGGAACTCGATTTCTGTAGCACTAGCCTCCATGGGGCAGGCCCAACGAAGGTGGAACTGAGGCCAGATGGTTGGGGCAAGAGCTGCTGCGGGAGGAAGTAAAGGGCCGTTATATCTCAAAGGATCATAAAAGGGATTAATGTGGACATGAGACGTTCCAACGGATGAACGTATATCGGCCAAGTACGCCCACATGCACCCACACGATTCAGGAATCCCGCATTGTTGCCTCTCCTTCTCACTGAAATTTCCACCATATAAAGTACGGTAAAATATACACCAAGAGGTTTCATGAACTTTCCAGCATAAGTTTTGCTCCATTTCAGACGCATAACGCGGTGAACTAGAGATTTTACAAATAAATTTCATTAGGTGACGAAGAAAACTTACCTATTGCACAAGAAGTTTCCAAAACGACATGAAAGCACGCAGTCCATGAAATCTACCAGGAAAGTCTGAAATGCCACGTTTAAGGCAATGAGCATTTTTACGGGATGAAGTTCAACGTGAGATAGGTCAACCTTCATACATACCGAAGAAAACTCAAAAGCAGAAGGATACATCCGCAATAGCTGTGCAACACAATCAACCCACTGCAAATACATAGGCATGAACATCCTATTCAGACTCAACGGTCAAAGAAGATCCAACCACATCACAGGAATCATTATAATTGCAAGTAATAGCAGCTCACCTGCAAAAATATTGGAGAAAAGTTGTTCTGCCCGTGGGAAGAGCTAGAAGATTGAGAAGCCATCGCTGCTGAAGACTGCCGAGCTGGAGATGAAGGATAGCTTCCAGCAGAAGAAGAAGAAGACTGTCTTGGTAATTCGATACCAGATCCTGATATATTAGGCATTCCAACACGATCTGAAAATGGGTGTCCAAAGGCTAGCCAATCCTTCTCGACAAGAGCCTGATGTTTAAGGACAGAACAATAGCAATGACAACATAAGACAATGATGCAGCATAACAACCACCTCATCAAGGTTGTCGATGTGAATGAATTAGTAGTTGGAAAGAAAATGCAATATGGTAGTGTTCTCATTCAATGGACAGAAAAACATGAATCAACGGTGGGAAAACTTTGAAATAAGTTAGTAATTAACATACTATGCAGAAGCGTTAAAGCACCAGTTCCAGTTAGCTACAACAGATTCTATGAGCAAAAATCATGAGTTTCAAGATGGAAAACCTGAACATGAAAATGACTTGACTAAATTTCTCACTCACCAGAAATGAAAAAAAAAAGGTACTGAAACATACCAAAATAAAAGCCTAAGGATACCTGAAACCCAGCAAATGTCCTGTAGTATGGATCAAGCGATAAGCATGCAAGAGCAACCAGCTGAGTTGTTCGGTCCCACCCATCACTACGCAAACACATCATGAGACAAAATGGTTTTTCTACAACGAACACCAAACTGTCTTTTTCAATCTTTTTTTACAACCTATATATATTACGCCTCCACCTCAGGCACTGCATCTTTTATACCGCGCATCCAGAAACTTATATCCAAGCAAAACAATGAGATTATGTGACCCTGAGATGACTAACCTGCAGTGCACAAGAACAGATGCGGACTCCATGGCAACACGTGCAGCAATCCATGCTGCACCAGCTAAGATGCTCTGGACATGTATCAGCCAACCACTATCTCCGAGTGTAGATACTGATGCAGACATACTACTGAGATTACCTCCTCCCCACGTCCAATCACCATGTCTCTGCCAATTCCACATATAAAGAGATACATCCATCAGTCGAAACAGAAGACACAGATATATGACAGATCATGGTGTATCATCAAAATGAGCCTAAGGACGCCATTATAACCCCCATCAACCAATAAAATTTTCATGACACTGCAAAAACAGCGAAGTAGCAGACTTTCATATAATAACTAACTAAATCATGTTCACGTCTTTAAGCATAACTTCAGGACACATCCGATTTCATTGCTCAAATATCTAAAGATTACATGCTAACAAGAGAATTAGAAAAGCATTATCAATGTGTGGGAAACGAAAAGGAGAGTGCACTCAGATATTTATACAAATTACAAGTACAAAAAGTTCCTAGGTACACAGTGCTTACCAAGAATGATGACACCCCATCGGATGATGTTGTACCGTGCATGTCTAAATAATCTCTCAGCCGGGAGAAGCTCTCTCTCATCGCATGTATGTTGTCTATTCCAAAGAAAACAATCTGAAGAAAGAAAAACCATAAGTAAAACCAAGCAATTTCAGAAGAGTGAGACTGAGCATTAAAATGGCATAAATCAATTACAGACTTCAGATTGAAAATAATTTGAAGAAGATTCTGAGCCCCCTCCCATTGCTCCATTTGCTAACGCATTTTTCCTAGGTCTTGCATCTGCGATATAAAGCTTCCTACAACGTAAAAACAAGATGAGCTTCATGCATCTTTTTTAATACACCTAAAAAAGTATCAACCCTATTGGACATATCACCAATGACAGAATGTAATTTTCTATTCCAATCAAACAGAGAACTTTTGATGTATCAGATCCCAGAGGATAATCTGAAGATCATCAAAATCAACAAGTATGTGATAATTTCTAGCTGCGAAGAGCATTCATGATTCATATGCTTTTTACTTGCAAGTCTTTATAAAATATTGACTACAAAACCATGCAAGAAATGCAACCACCAAAGATATAGAACTAAAGATGAAAAATTAATTCAGTAAGTCCAGATGGTTAATGTTCAACGAAATGAGTATGAATTCCACACACACAAAAAAAAAACTCACCTTCGCGCTCCCTTATGATCACCTAGTTGGGTGCAGAATGAAGCAGCAAGCTTCTCATCATAGTTACTGTAGAAAGACGGATGAAATAAATCAAGGATCGAAATTCAGGAAGTAGGAGCTGAAACACAAAAGTTCAGAATGTATTGTCCAAAGGACTTGGAGATCAAAACTGAAAGATTAAGGTATCGTCTACATTTCCAGTCAAAAAGTTGTAACTTCCATACCTCCTCATGTTCATCATAAGACCAACTAAAGGTTGGGATGAGCGTGCAAGCACAGCTCCACCTCCTATTACCAAGACCAGGAAGCAGCATGTCAATGTGGAAGCTCCACTGACAAAGTAATCGAAAGCAAAAAGAGTAGATGGGTTTCTACCTGGCTGACACCACGTTATCACAGGTAAGCGGCACCTTGCCCGGAAAGTAGATGCCTGGAGTAGGTCTTCGTCACTGGCACCAACAGAAATGTGTTAGTTTGCTTTTCTTGTTTAACAAGTAAAGATGATTACATTGCATACAAGATCAAGGGATCGAGTTGGAAGATGGCCTAATTCCGGAACAATAGCAGGGAGAGACCAAATGATCAACCAATAGTATAATGAAGAAGAGTCTTTTAGTTAATTCAAAAGATTAGATACCAGAGTAAAGCTCTCACTATTTGAGCACATATATACTGTTAACAATTCTCAAGGAGGCATTGGTATAGAATACTTCTAATTCCTCTATAAGGATCTCAGTATCCTACCTTATGGATCTTGGAACCATCAAAGCAAACGGGTAAGTCGGACACAAGTTAAAATTGGAGTTTAAGTCGGTTATCCGCCACAACTCATTGGAAAATGTGAATGATCCATCTTCGATCATATCCATCGATGCTCGTAACGAACTTCTTCCGAGAAGACGGAAATATTCATTCAGCAATCTTTCCTTGGGGTTCGTGTTACGGAATCTCGAACACCCGCAGACAAAGGTATAAAGATCCCAGATTCTCACTGGCTTGCTACACATCAACAAGGCATCAAACACAGCGCGTCTCTACAAAGGCATGCTGAAAATCACATAGAGTTCAAGGGGAAGAGTTGCATAAAGCAGAATAGGAGGACAGGAGAGTTTCACCTGTTTGGTTCGAGGGCGAAAACCATAAACAATTATTCTCATGTCTTTGCCTGAAAAATGTAAGTGATTTCCAGCAAATAAAACCTTAAGTTAACATGAAATTCAACAGAAGATACAAAATCATCAATAAAGGAGCCTTTGACCAACATCACTGCAAGGTAACGTCCACTTGAAAAGACAATTGTTGGCACGAAAAGAAAAAAAAAACAGAAGCCAAACTATTGTTGACACCAAAGATGCAATCCACACATGTACTTCATGCCACAAGCCTTATCTATAATATTATCTTCCCTATCACCTTCTTCTACTATTTTGGTCATCTATTTTATCTCACCTCGTACCTCAATATGGCATATTTCCTTTTGACGAGTTCGAGCATGGGAATAGGATTCCCAGCAGTTATGGGAAAGGCCTAGAGCACAGTAAAATATCCTAGTATTTTTCAGCTAGGCTTGCAAGAGCCAGACTGAAGGGCCGACTTGGCTCAGCGGTAAAACCATTTACCGTGGGCCGTGGGGTCTGAGGTCGCGGGTTCGAATCCACCTCTCTACATTAAAATGTAGGGGTAAGGTGGCCTAATGTATTCTCTTCCCAAGCACCCCCACTAGATACGAACTGGGTTGGTCCTTGCAGGAGTCAAACTAACTAAAAGTACTCAAAATAAGCACTGGACAAGTAGAACATACCGGTGACCTGTAAAAGACGTCTTGGCGGATATTTGTCAGACTGACGAGTATTTGATTGGCTTTTCTGCATCTATGTATGAAACAACAATACACACAAATAACCATGTCAAACTTTGGATACTAACTTCATGAATTTCATCCCGAGAGATACAGAAACTAACCGTTTTGTTAAACTTCTCAATAGTCGCCAACGGAATCGTACCTAGTGGAATAATCTGTCCGGTTCCTTCACTCTTTATAAGAGAAACAAAGAATTGATTGATCAAAAGTACAAAAGAATTCAGTTACATACTTGAGAAATTAAAGCCGTACTGCAGAATTTCTGAATGATACGTAAGCCTATGAACCACATTATTCAATGTATTATACTAATGACAAGCAGAATTGATCAAAATCCAAGAAATCGGAGGCAAACATTGTAATGACTTGCCGCGCCAAGAAGTAGTAGAAGAAAGACACAATCATACCAGAAAAAGAATACGGAAATTGGTCACCAACAGGGTCCCAGCTTCATCAGTGTTAATGAGGACGACTCCATAACCCTGAAACCAAATTCTAAAACCAAATCAATCCGTAGAAATTCCTCCGTGAAAAAGACATTCATAAAAGATTGAAAATACAGATTCCTTCAGCCACCAACAATGCCGGAGGTAAAGAACCAACTTCGACAAAACCCAATACACAAGCCCCGAGTAAAGTTTACCCATCAAGTCTCAATTTGAAAATAAATTCTTTTTTTTTTAAATAAAAAATCTCGCTACCAATTCAACCATTAGTACAACCGGGATTCAAGAAATCAAAACAAAAACAAATAATTTGCAACACCCTGAAGACGTACCTCGACGATAACCTTCTCTGCTTCAAGCAAGCAATCCAAATTCTCAAAAGAAACGGACCGCGAAACTGGCTGATCCGGGAGAAAAGAACATATTAAATTATCGACCATATACACCAGGAATACGCGTAATTTGAATCTCATACCTAACTATACGCGAAGTTAATAGACAGAAACAATAAGCTATTCGTCCATGCACAAATTGGGGAAGGGGAAGCACGGAGAAAACCCTAGAATTTGGAGAATTGAGAAGCGATACCTCGATTTTGGTCCACTCAAGCGCGTCCCAGCTACCGGTACCTTCCATCTTATCCGACTCCGAAGAATCTCGGAGCGACCGTGATCGACCAGACGGTGGCCTCGGCGCCGTCATGACACGTCAAGGGGAGAGAGAGAGGGAGGGAGAGGGGCTTCTGGATACACAAAATACGACGCAGTTTCTGTGGAACGGCTTCCTTACGTTAATTACAAATAATAGAAATTTGATTTAAGGACGAAAATGACACTAAATTAATTTAGCTGCCAAAAACAGCAATGCAGCAAATTAGAGAGGAAGTTTTATCACTTGTTGTGAGCGAGCCAACAAAGCACAGAAACGTTCGATGATGATGATGATGATGATGATGATGATTTTTTCCTAATAATGATATAATTTCTATTTTTTCCTCCACAATAAATAATTTCTATCCCCACTTGAATTTAAATAATAATAATGATAATAATAATAATAGTTTCTGTTTTTTTGCTTTGCAATAAATAATTTCCATTCCCATTTGAATTTAAATTGAATGAATGAAAGCGACTGTTTGGTAATACATACCATTGCAGAGGTCCATTAATAGTAACATGAATTATGACACTTTATATATAAATTTAATCTAAGTCATTTAAGTTCAGACATTTCCTTCCTTATTTATAAACTGCAATCTGCATCATAGACCTTATCATCCCTTGACAATATTGAAACGAAGAAATACGCGCGCGTGTGTGTAATTGTATGTATATGTGCCCGCAACAATGGATCTCTTTCATTTTTGTCTCAAACTCCTGAAATTGCTACAAAATGTCCCAAATCCGAAAACTTTAACCAATCACAAACAAATTGTTGATGTTTCAGAAATAAAGTCAGGTACAAAAGGGCAAAGCATCCTGTCACATAGCATTTACAGAATCAAACTCTCAACCCACATGGTTTATGCATAAAAATCAGTATATTTCACCTAAACAAATTTCTAGAGGATATTCACAACTCATCATTGATCCTAAGAGATTTCATAATCTGGCAATCCAAGAAGATAGGGGAAAAAAAAAGAGGAATGCTTATACCTTTCACCAAACTTTCGAAAGTACTCAGCTATTTCTCATCCTCCGGCTTACGAGGGTTCGTACGAGCAATGCCCTAAATATCGAAAGTCAGCCGCTTTTCATCGTAGACCTTATCATCATCCGTTCGAGGAGGTTCTCTTCTTTTCCTAGCCCAAACATTTCTCAGATGGGGCCTTCTTGCAGAACCTTGGAGTTAAGTTCCCGACCGAATCTCCAGACATAGTTCAGACCAACAAGAAGCTCGGTGATGGTAGCTTCGACCTTCTGCTGGTTCGCAAAGTAAAGGGTCTGTACCAAAACTATGTTTGTCCTGGAAACCGAACTTTGATGCTCGTAACTCCTCTCTGATTGCCATTTTATCATATTGTGCGCTAGAGGAGAAAGCCATTCCAATATACCTATCATTGCGTCGGTCCATTCTTTTGCCAGAATGGGATCATATACTGTCGAAGAGGTCAATCTTTTTGAGTATGGCTTTAGCTTTTCCCTCAGAGAAGTTCTCAGGCTTGCGGGTAACATGTTGTAAAGGTCACCTCTTGCATCATCACCGATCAAGTGAGGAGATGCCACGAATCTCTGTATCACGATAATGACATTTGCATAGTGTAACGCTAGGCAGGCGGCACCCAGAGTATCAGGAGGAGCATCTAACAATTTTGGTCGTGGTTGAAATGCCAAGTTATCTGTGTGAGCAAAATTAGGGTTACTCTCAGAAAGATGACGATCAGCACTGCTATTCCTAGCTCCATTCTTGATCCGAATGCTGAGAGGAGTAATCCCATCTTGAGAAACCATACAACCTTTAAACGGACCCACTTGAGTTAACCGATTGGGTTTTTTACCTGAGGAAATGGGAGATTTTTCAGGGGTCTGCGTCTGCCCCATTTTCTTGCTGCTTTTGCGCATTCCAGCAATCAGACCGGATTTTGCAGTTAACTTTCCAAGTGGACCTGAGTAGAACTTGAAACGTTTGCTCTTTTCTGGAACAAGAAGGCCTGATTTAGGTGATGAGGTGCTGAGAGGGCCCGAAAGAAAATCGCTCATCTTTGTGGATCTTGTAGTAGGTGGACCTGATGCTGGGGTTGAATATCTTCCAAGTGGACCAGAAGCAAATTTGGGAAGACTACTGGCCTCAGATTGATGTGGCAAAGCTTGCGAAAATGTAGAAAATAAAGGGCTACGACCCATGAAATCAGAATCCACTGAGCTCAAATCACTTGACTCTGCTGTAGAACTAATGCCAAAAACATATTCGATCCTGCTAAATATTGTAAAGATCGATCTAGCCAAGAGAAGCATGGTGAAATCATAAGTCCGGTTCCAAAGAGACACCCCCCGCAAATTCTTCACTTCCTGTTGTTTCCATGAGATTTTTTTCTGATACTCAAGTAAACTCTTGGATGCAGCCTCACTAGACATCATTCTCTTAAAAGTCTGCTCGAGATCCGCCAGGATTTCCGTCTCCTGGTACAGACTTGCATTAGCCGAGATAAAACGTTCCATCTTCTTCATTTTCCTATCCATTTTCTTCCACCCAAACCGCCATCCATATGGGTCAGCCCCTTTCTTCATCATGTCACCAAAACAATTCTCAAAGCTCTTCAAACCGGGATCCTCGCATTTCCTCGCAAGCCTAGCCACAGATTTCGCCACATTCTCCATACTCTCCATCAATTCTACACATACTAAACTTACGATGAAATTATCGTCTTCAGAAACAAGCTTCTTTATCCCCACAGAATTGGTTATCTCATCTCTAAGCCTTTCGATATTCTTGTCGCTTAAAGACTGCCACAAATGAACCAATTTCGACATCAAGCTTGCAACCTCGAAAGCCAACACTCCAATCACCACCTTCTCCGAGCCGCCTTCATGCCTTTTCGGGAGTCTCCACAGTTTACGGAACCATGATTCAGCCACCATATTCTCAGGCAAAGTCCTCTGAGTAGCATAAAACAAAACAAAGAAACCAACACAATTACCATAATGACTCACATATATGAATCACCATCTCAAGCAATTCGCTAACCAAACAATTAGTAACTACAAAAACAATCTACACACGGTGAAACAATTTGCAAAAACTCGCCATCATATTCAAGGGTCTCGAACTGAGATGGAATTCGGATAAAGAACATTACAGATGCACTAAAATACGAGGGGAAGTAAAAAATTACACTAAAGAAAATGAAGTATACGACAAAATATAAGCAGCGAATACCTCACGAGAGCAAGAAGCACGCAGAATTGGAATTTACTGAAAGGTTATGTTCTTTAGCTCATTACACAACAAAGTTTCAAAACTTGAAGTTGTGGGTAGTCAATTAGCGGAAACCCTAACACAAATCACTGAAACCCCATGATTACAATCATAATTTTCGCCATACCCAACAAGATAACGCGGGCAGAAACAGACAAAACCAGTAAAATACCGATCGAGAAAGAGCTTACCGATCATTCGAAGAAAGATATGAACCGGAGAAAATTCTGAAAAAAGCGAGAGGGGTTGATAGAGAGAGAGAGAGAGTGGCGAGGAAGACGCAAACGAAGACTAGAGCCACATGGAGAGGAAAAAGCAGAAAACTGTAGCGAGCGTGTGTGAGAGAGTGTAAGTTGAAGTTCCTAAATTTGCCTTCTTTTAGTATTTGTGATACGATCCTATATTTTACTATATTTTTTATTTCACCCCAAAGGTCTTGGTAATTAGAACCAGGACACCTTTCGGTCTTAATGGTAGTTTCGCATTTTAACATGTGAGGAATTTCATATGAACATCGTTATAAAGCCTAATATAATAAATTTATTTAAAACTCCTAACACTTTTCTTTTGGTATAAAGGTGCTTTGATATATTAATATAAGGGAAATTATATTTATAAAATCAGAATTTCAAAAGATACAGGGATTCCCATGGGTACGGGCCAAAAAGACAAACACATTGTTATCAAGAACTAGTTAATGCGATACCATAGTTGCAGAACTTCATTCATGCTTCATTCTCCCGATATTTGCAATGATATAAGGACGTTTCTCATGAGCCGATCGACCTTGAACTGCATTTGGTTCAGCGATGTCCACTGATCTTTGTGAACACGACCGTTTCTCTACTTCCATATCTCATATACTACTAATTGCGTCAACACCTTCATCACGGTTCGCCTAATTCCTGCGTCCGTGTGCATTCCCCGCTTAATCCATTCTAGACTGCAACGTACATCAGGGCGAGGATTATCACCCAGCTTCCGAGCAAAATACAACCATAGTGCAGAACTGTAGTCATACATGAAGAAGAGATGTCCGTGTGTTTCAGCATCTTTACAGTATAAGATGCACCTATTAGGCCCTTGAATACCCCATTGCGATACCCGGTCGCTCATCGGCAACCGCTGATGCAGGACCTACCACATAGTGAAAGAGTATCGGAGGATGCAATATCTAAACCATACCAACTCATACCAGGGAACTGTCGGATTTGGCCGCCAGAGCTGCTCCCAGATATGCCTCGATATAAAAGATGGTCGGAAATCATTTTCTTTGTGCCTCCAGAGGTAGGAATCAGGTCCATAGCTGGAAAATGGTGTCGCCATAGATGATAGGATGATTTGAAGTTGTTGAATATTGTTGTTTCTGGCCTCCGGTAAATTCCGCTGACCGTTGCGGACTGCATCTACAACTTTGACCGTTTTATACAGTATCAGTAGTCTCGGACCGGACAGCCCGGTAAACTCAATCAGTAGTCCAACACTAACCCAATTTTCATACCAGAACGATACATTTTCTCCATTACCTAGCTGAACCTTAACAAACTGTCTTGCTTGCTCCTTAATTCGGAGCAGATTCCTAACACTTAATATTTCGAGTGATTTGTATTTCATAATTTCTAATTACATCGCTTGTATCCTTATTAATATTATAAATGATGTATTCCAGATTATCTTGAGCATTAGACCTACTAAGCAAATTTCAATAAAATTGGACTAACTAATTTAATTTGCACTGATTATAAAAATACAATTTTATTTTCATTTTTTCTATAAATTTTATATATAATAGTGTTAAGACGTTAAAATGGATCGTTAACATATGTATTTTATTCAATTATAACATTAAATCATAATAAGCATTTAGGCTGTAAATCAAATATGTTATAGAAATGATAAGTACGTAAATCAAATCAGTTTTGGATATATCAGTTACTCTATTCAAATGTAATCAATTAAAAATTCTGATATTCTACTCATTACTCATTAGAATTTGAATTTATAAATTAAAATTATATATATTCAACTTGATTCGAATTTCTCAATTCTTTTATATATTTGATAAAATTAAAAACACATTATTTATATTTACTACAAATTATATTAATCTTTTTAAAAAAATTGAAATTAGGTTCATTATTTTAATTATATATGATATTGATGTTGATTAAAAATAAAAAAATACATTTTTTGTACAGAACATAAATTCAGATAGTGAATATTTACGGGTATGACATAGGACCTCAAAATTAAATTGTAATATCTGATATATTTGGATATTTGATTTGAATATATTAAAAAAAATTAAAGCGACCAATCTTAAAAAATGTAGAAATATCACAAAATGAAGGGACCAGACTGTAAACGTTGACCGTTCCGATTATTAATAGTAAGCAAGCACGCGGAAACTCGCCGTTTTACGATTTTAACCGGTCGGTCGGGTCCAATACTACATTGACCCCACAAGATTTAGTACTTTATAAAACCCACCCATAACTTTTCATTATATCCCATTTTGACCCAGAAAATAATTATTCTCTAAATACTACCTTATATGTATACGGGCAATTAATAATTATATTAATATTGGATTTAAGATTTTAATACACCTCACCGTCTGTCAATACTTCGACATATATAGTAAACAGAATAAAGAAAATTATCCATCTTCTTAATTAAAATTCCTTAATTTGCTACGTCAAAATCACCATTTAGGACAAGAATCATGCAATAATGGAATATAATCGATAATAAACTTTCCCAACAAATAGTTTAAGCGACAATTTTTTCCTTTGCTAGAAATAAATCTGGAGTTTAATTGTTGTAATGCATATATAGCTTTTGTTACGAATTGTGTTTCATAATTTTCTATTTTATCGATAATTCCCATTTGTACGCGGATATTTTAAATTTTTTATGTATAATTTCGATTATGTAATTAAATCAAAATATAAAATACTTTTTATTGTGATTCAAATTAATGTTTAACCAAACAAATATTTTCTATTAGTATTAATAAATCCCAATCGCATTATTTTTATCTAAATCCCTTGTTACATATACATATATAGTCTTGTGTACGTGTTTCGTAGACCGTAGTACATAATTTTTCATTTTTATATAATTATGATATATATATTGATATTCAATATGACGATGTATATTAGATATCTAAATAAAATTTTGTGATTTTTGTATCTTCCGAACACTATCTAAATTTAAGATAATAAAAACACCAAAATCAAGACATATGATATGTTGGATACAATAAATAATATAATCTATCAGTGACACGTAGAATCCAACCATATAAATATTATCAATCTCACAACAACTATAATATATATATATATATATATATATTTACGGTTTAATTAATATGATTTTAATGGCAGAATCTACTTATTTTCATTAGAACTTTTAATGAGACGCATATAATGACAATTTTGCCATCGGCTTTAAAATGTATCGTGTTGGAATTTAAAAAAAAAAAGAATCGTGTGCATGGTCTTCTTCATTACCTTCAAATTATCTTCCATATTTGTAATGTTTTAATATTAATAATAATAAATTATTATTATTTATACAGAAACGCATATAAATACTCATCTATACACACGTAATTTACCGGCTTCACTCTGTTCGTCGTCTTCTTCGTCTCCATTCTCCCTCTCTCTCTCACGGCGGAGCTGTTTCGGTTTCTCCGGCATTAATTTGCCTGAGAATCCAAAAGCTCACGCAGTTTCAGAGCTTAAAACTCCATTGTTCTTTTTTTCCCTCCTCCGGTTTTGTGCATTTTCTATCTGAAATTTGTTCCGTCCGCTAAATTAAGCTGTTACATCTCCGAGTCGCGAGAGTGATCTTCTTGATGTTTGTATCAATTCGAAATTCCTGACTCTGCATATAACCTGAGCCATTAACACCCGAATTCAACTATTCGAAACAAAACCTCAGGTTTGCTTTGTCTTCCTTCCCCAGAAACATTTTGATACCCCCCTTTCCTCTTTTCCTTTTTTGTTTGTTTTTCCCCGTTTCAACATTTTGCATTCAATACTTTTCTAGTTTCTTCGACGAGAGAATATATGGAGAGACCATTTACTGCGTTTCATGGTACAGATTCTGCTCTGCTTTTAGTTGATTTTGCCCCCAACCTGAGATACGTAGAAAGGAGAATTTAGCTCTTCGGCATGGGTTTTGGTGTTTGGCCTTTTAGGTTGATTCTGGGAGAGAGTCAGTGAGTTGGGGAATACAGGGTATTTGGGGATTTGGTACTTGCGAACCGATTTGGTTAAATAATCATTTTAGTTATGTATCAATAGTGGTCGAATAGGTGATTTATATAGTCGGCGTGGTATGAATTCGAGGGCTGATTCCCGAGATGGCGGGTTTCAAGTTCCTCCGGAGAAACAAGTTCAACAAAAGTTCCAATTCATGGGTTCTTGGATTCCAATTACACCCACGAAACCTGTACAAGATACCTCTAGTCTGATCACAGACGAGAGAGTGAGATGCCTGGAAGGGGGTGCTGGTGGATACACGGAGAGGGCGTTGTACAGCAACGGAGATGTACAGGATCTAAACCAGACTGAGAAATGGATGAATCGAAATGAGGGTTATTACCTTAACGCTGATTCAGGCATGGCCAGGAGAAGCAGGCTGATCAATTGCATTGCAGGATCATATGCACAAACCAGTAATAGTAATGAGAAGGCAAATATTTTTGCTGGGGGTAATGTAGCTCCCCCTCTACCTCCTGTTACTAGAAACCCCATTGGAAATCTGGATACTGCCAATGGAAACCCTACTCAATATTCAGGTGTGATTAACAGTTGTTTCCCCGAGATTGGCAATTCCCAAGCTGGTCCTAGGGAGTTTGAGTTGGACGAGTTGTTGTTTTCCGATCAGATTCCTTACTCATTTTCAAGCCTGCTGAGTGATGGAGACCATTTGTGCCAGGGACTTCAATGTGAGTAATCACATCTACTTTTTGACATTTTTATGTATTTCGATATACCATTTTTGCCGTGCTTAGTGCAATGGAAAACTTAGATCTTACAGTGTTCTGTTGGTTCTGCATGAATAAACTGCACTAATTTTCTAAGCATGTTTCAGACTGTAAATGCATATCATTTCAAATTTTGCATAGCCCGTATCATTTCTTAAGAAAAAAACTTTAGCGCAGATGGAACCCCAGCGTCTAATCAACCTCTTTACAACCTGAATTCACCACCCAGAGGAGAAGCTAATGGGTCCACCTTCAGTGCAACTACTTTAAAGTTGGTACCAACAACTAATCAAGCGAATAATATTGAGAATGGATCTACACATGGTCCAAATTTTTTGACTTGTGACAACTCGGTTCAAGAGAATGGATTCTTGGAGAAAAGAGTTACAACCACTAGGCAAGGAATCACCCAGCAAAATTCTGACAGTAACATTCAGAATGTTGGGGACTTCTCTGTCGTTGATTCTACAACAACTAAGGAACAAAGAGATAGAAGCAGACAAAATGACCAAGTGATTGGTCTTAAGGGGACACCTCAGTTGAAACCACTGAAAAGGAAAAAGTACATGCCGAAGGTAGTTAAGGAAAACAAACCCCAGAAGAAGGCATGGAAACCAGCAACTCCAGCAAATGCTAAACCTAAAGAGACTGGAACCAGCAGAAGGAAGCGAGCACGAAAGACAAGCTTGAAAGAATCAGACACTGCTAGACAGACAAGCAACTCTAACCCTGAAGTTTCTGCCAAGAGTTGCAGAAGAGCTTTAGCTTTTGACTTGGAGAAAAGTGGGGATGCGAGGCAAGATCACGCTGAGATTCTCCAGAAGGTTGGTGGCTCAAACTCAGTTTCTGAGACAAGAGTTACAACTACTAGGACTATCAGCAGTTGCATGGATTCAGTAACACAGATTGACCAGAATGTTCAATTACTGACTCCAAACCAATCTTTTGGATTATCGACGGGAACCCAGCATGCTGGATTGTCAGGGGGAGATAAGCCGTCTGCGTTACCTACAGGAGAGAGGCAACCTGAATTAACAAATGGAAATCAACCAGCTCGATTACTGGCAAGAGATGAGCAACCCAAAATATTGATCGGAACCCAGCAACATAGATTCTTGATTGGAAGGCGGAAATGCGATTTTCCAGTGGCAAACCGGCAAACCCAGTTCTCAACTGAATACCGGCAACCTCATTTCCCTACGGGAATCCAACCCCTTGGCTTGCCAGTCGGGATGCAGCGGTCTTTCTTGCCTATGGGAAACCAGCAACCTCGCTTGCTGATGGGAAACCAACAATCTCCGTTGCTGATGGGGAACATGCAACCTGGGTATCTGATAGAGAACCAGCACTCTGGATATCTCGCAGGCAACGGGCAACCTGGATTTTTGAATTGGAAAAACCAGCAAGCTTGTTTAGCTACAGCAAATCAACAATCTGGATTGTCGATAGGCATGCAGCAACCTGGCTTGCCAACAGGAGGACTGCAACCTGGATTACAGATGAAAAACCAGCAACCTGGAATACAGATGAGAAATCAGCAACCTGAATTACTGATGAAAAATCAGCAACCTGGATCATATATGAGAAATCAGTTGCCTGGTTTACCTGTGATGAACCGGATGCCTGGAAATCCAGGTGGCTTTACTTCTCACTTGAATAAAATGGTAGCTGCCTACTTGCCATCATCTGGAACTCGAGCACATGGGTCTTTGTCACAAACTTCTGCAACAAATTTGCATGCAGAGATTCTTAAAACTGTTTCCAGAAAATTGAGTGCAAGGACTGCTGGAACATGTCATAGAAGCAGCAGCAATGAATATGGTTTTTCACAGCAACGTATCCCTCAAGAAAGTAGCTACATGCAATACCAAAATAAATGCAACGGTGAACCTCTTGATGAACTCAGGAAAGCAGTACCTCAAAATATTCAAAGATCAACTCCATCAATTTTATCCAAACCTTTTGAATCCAGGGGAACCAAGAGAGAGTGTAATCATGCAACGGGGCAGATGCAAAATCATGATTTGGATAGAACTGATAATTGGTCCTTGCCCCAACAGATAGCTCAATCGCAAGATTTAGCAAGAGGCAACATCCATATAGGTGCAGCATTACTGGAATCTTCAAAGAAAATGAAAATTCAGAAAGAATTCCCTGTCAATATGGATGGCGTCCCTTATGAGGTAATGGAAGTCAAAGATGATCCTAATGATGACTCCCAAAAAGATATAAATAATGTCAGCATCAACGAAATTGCATTGAAAGGAAAACCTTGTCCATTTCAAATTTCTGTCAATAATGGGAAATGCATTATTACCCCACCAAAACCCCCAAGAATGGCCCCTGCAGTGGGAAATCAACTAGTAGCTCCGCTTGCTCATGCTTCAGAGGCCCAGAGTTCAGAATCTGCTCAAACCAAGACATCTTCATCGAGAAGTAAGGCTCAAGCGAAACAGAAGTCCCTACAACATTCAGGAAAAACAAGAGGTAACCTAAGTTTTGACCATATTTTTTCCTTTAACATGATGTTGTGACCACTTTTAAGTGATGGAGTTTTACAAGTTGCTTCATACAAACAAGCTTTCAGTATACCATTTTATAATTTTAACATGGTTGACATTTTGTGGACCGTCAGGGGAACTTCTGTCTCAAGACCCTGTTGCAGACATGATCTGCGGGTTGCAGAATCTTAGTATAGGTGGCGAAACCATAGATCAAATGGAGCAAAATTCACTTGTTTTATACCGAGGAGATGGTGCAGTTATTCCATATGAGATCAAGAAGCGTAAGCCAAGGCCTAAAGTGGACCTTGATGAGGAAACAACTAGGATATGGGATCTATTGATGGGAAAGGGGGGAAACGAAGGTGAGCAACAAATGGATAAGGAAAAAGAGAAGTGGTGGGAGGAAGAGAGGAGAGTTCTTCGAGGGAGGGTAGATTCGTTCATTGCCCGAATGCATCTTGTACAAGGTACACAACTCTCTCAGCCATGCTGTTATTCTCCTTGCATGTTGAAAGTTCATTTTTAACATCAGAATACTGCAGACGTCAGGAAAAAATAAGAACATAAAGGAAACCAGAGTATTATCCACCTCTTTTCATTGACATATTCAGGAAAATGCCCACAAGATTACAGGTCATAAAAGACTGCACCAAAGAATGAATATTTCTCAAAACCATTGTCATTTCTTTCAAAAGATTCTCCATAATTCATCTGTTGAAGAATAACTATGCATCTCTAGTGACCGGTTTTCATTCTAGTTTGCTGCTACCAATGACCAATTGAGCCATCTAACTGTATGCCTTAAGAGGTTTGTGTGAATGTTTACAGGAGATAGACGTTTTTCACCATGGAAAGGATCAGTGGTTGATTCGGTCATTGGTGTTTTCCTTACCCAAAATGTTACAGATCATGTTTCGAGGTAAATATGTTGTCTTAACACTTAAGGAAATGAATATCTGAAGGAGAGTTCTAATATGCAGTAAACTAATTTATGGTATTTTTAATCATGCAGCTCTGCTTTCATGTCTTTAGCAGCTATATTTCCTCCAAAAGCACACAGGAACCAAGCAGATGAAAGGAATAGACCTAGGGTAATTGTTGAAGATCCAGAAGGATTCATTCTGAACTTAAATGACATCCCTGCATGGCAGGAACAGGTAATTGATCATCCATGTGACACACAAGCTTCTGGGGTTGACAATGGGTCAAAAGATCAGCAAAAGGACAGTTCAAACTCTGGAGCAGACAGAATTTCTTTTCTAGGAAACTGTAGTCAAAATTTAGAAAATGAAACATTATCATCACAAGATTCTTTTGATCCTGCAACATTTCAGTCTAGTGGAGGAGTTAGATCATGTTCAGGTTCCACTTCAGATGTGGAGTTTTCTACAACTAGGCGTGAATTAAAATCTGTCAGTGGTTCAACAAAATCAGTTCAAATTGGGAAGTCAACCTTGTTAGATGATTTTTATTGTCAAGGGCATGGAAGATATCTCGTGTATGAAGGATCTGATAATATTCTGGTAGAAACAGAAAATATTTTTCTGCAGAAACCAAGAACAGAGAGACTAAACAACGGGAAGGACTCCTTACCTTTCTGTCATTCAAGCAACCATGTCAATTGTCACAAACAGGTACTTACCAACCCTTCCAGTAGCTATCAAAAGAACCCGATTCTGCAGCAACAGGAGCTAGAAATAGAGGATTTTGGAATCCATGGTGAGAGAAATGGTTGTTCTTGGCTATCCATTGCTCCAAGAATTGAAAAAGGAAGGAACCAAAATGAGCCCTTCAGTGCGATGAGACAGGCCGGAAATGTTGCACTGCAAACCACAGGTCAAAAAGGAACATCAATGCCTCGAGAAACACCAGAGTTAGGATTGCATACTTTCCCAGGCAAGCACCTTGATTGTCAACTATGTGATACTCAACAAAATGAGATGAATAAAGCATCCCAGTCGCAAAGCACATTCACAGATTTGCTTAACTCTTCTGGAGAATGTCTTACAAGACACTCAAGTGCCACACAACACATGACAGATGCCCTTCTACTGGATACGAAAAATGCTGAAGAGGTGGTTGGTCCATTCCATAGGAAGGCTAGCTTGGAGAACAGAAAGGCCAAATCAAATTCCAGAAACCGAGAGCATTTGACAATTCAATACAGGGAGACCAATTCCAATAATGTACGAGAGAGAAAAGAGAAGCTTGATTATGGGACAATCCACTGGGATAGTCTCAGAAAAGATGTGGAGGCCAATGGAAAGACAAGACAAAGGAGTAAAGACGCTATGGACTCCCTCGATTATGAAGCACTTAGATGTGCTAGCGTCGGCGAGATTTCTGAGGCTATCAAGGAAAGAGGGATGAATAACATGTTGGCAAGACGAATTAAGGTACATGTGCTGAATTCAATTGAGAGTCCAAGTTGAAATTACAAGGCTTTAGACGGTAATATATTTCTAACGAAATCTAAAATGATTGATTAACATTGCAGGCATTGTTGGATCGGCTTGTTAAGGATCACGGTAGCATTGACCTTGAATGGCTAAGAGATGTCCCTCCTGATAAAGCCAAGTAAGTAAAGCTCGTGGCATTCTACTTTTATTGCTTGTGTAGTACTAGTTCTATCATGTTACCCGACATGTAAGATAGCAAGACATAGAAGGAAACTTTCTTCTGAAACGAAACAATCATGTCCCAGGGACTATCTCTTGAGCATACGAGGACTGGGTTTGAAGAGCGTGGAATGTGTGCGACTCTTAACACTTCATAATCTTGCTTTTCCGGTAATGCTTATATTTTATAAATGCTAACAACTTAAAGTAAGAGAGGCTAACTGAATCATAAGACTGAAAATTCTATTGATACCATGAAGGTAGACACAAATGTTGGAAGGGTTGCAGTTAGGCTCGGGTGGGTCCCTCTCCAACCTCTGCCTGAGTCACTTCAGTTGCACCTCTTGGAACTGTAAGGTTTTGCTTTTTCATGTAATTGAATTGAATTTTCACTTTCAGAAACCATAACAATGCGTCTATGCAGGTACCCAGTGCTTGAGTCCATCCAAAAATATCTTTGGCCAAGACTCTGCAAACTTGATCAGCGAACACTGTAGGTCCATCAACACTGTAACACCATGTTTCCTCCATTAATAACCAGTACTAATTAGCATCCTTATTTCTACAAGGTATGAACTACACTACCAGTTGATTACATTCGGAAAGGTAATATTGCTCAATTTTAAAAGGGGTCATACGATTATTTAAAAGTGTTGCAAGCACCTGACAATCAAAAATCAAATTCTAGGTCTAAATCATATAAACTTGCAGGTTTTTTGCACAAAGAAGAGACCAAATTGCAATGCATGTCCAATGAGGGGAGAATGCAGACACTTTGCCAGTGCTTTTGCTAGGTAAGCATTCATGTCACTGTAGCTAATAATTCGGGGGCCGAAATAACTGTAACTCCAAGTAAATACATGAAAGTTTGTTTGGTTTTATTGATAGTTAAGCATAGTTAGGTGATAGTGTGAGAATAAAGCAATCACCATCTAGCTCATGGTGCCATACCCTTTAATTTAACATGAGCCCTGAAGAACTCGGTCTGACAGGTAGACTAGTGCTGAAATCATTTTATATTGCCTCTGGGTCTGGGAGACTAATCACTTGACGGGTAGCTATGCCTGTGAATTTAGTTTTTTAAGCGTGCATTACGTTGCTCATCTGGAAGTAGCAATCTCAATGCCTGTGAAACTGATTGACCACGCTAATCTTCCAGTGCAAGACTTGCTCTGCCGGCACCAGAGGAGAGGAGCTTAACCGTTGCAATTAATCCAGTTGGTCCCCAAACTGCCCCCACCATGGCTATTCCTACCATGGAACTGCCTCCTCCAGAACAAAATCCACCAACTGAAGCTTCAAATGGCAGTAATTGTGAACCCATAATTGAAGAACCAGTGACTCCAGAGCAAGAATGCACAGAAATAACAGTGTGTGACATTGAGGATGCTTACTATGATGAACCAAACGAAATCCCGACCATAGAACTCGACATGAATCAGTTCAGCACAACTCTACAGGATTATATGGAAAAGAACATGGAACTCCAAGAAGGTGACATGTCCAGGGCTTTAGTTGCTTTGGATCCAGCAACAGCATCTATTCCGTCTCAGAAACTGAAGAGTATTAGTCGGTTGAGGACAGAGCACTATGTGTAAGTTGATCTCTTCCTCTAAATTTCTCAGCCAAGCAAAATCACCTAGGGAACTAGATATTGATATCACAAACTGAACACCATTTGTTAAAACTGTTAATCTGGTTAATGGTTTCAAAATGGGACAGTACCCAGGACTGACCACGGTCAGTTTCACAGAACTTGCAGGATAGGTTGGAGCCTTCCAACATGTTTAATTCGTGGGCCAAACGGGCCAATCCATTACCATTGGATTATGTGTGTTGAGACACAAGTTATGTCAGCCTGCATGCTGACTAAATGAAGGAAAAAAGACATATTCCGACTTTACATTGTGATGTCATGAGTGATAAGGAATAAAAGAACCTCAATACTCTACCAATTGGCATTACTAGGGAGTCCAAAGATCTTGTTTGGGCTCCCTAGTAATGAGTTGTGTAGTAAATGGTCGTCCCATTCGGTCCACAGACCCACCCACGTACATTGGGTTAAGGAAAAATCTTGTTTGACCTACCTATTGTACAGGCTGGCCTAGCCTGCCTGCGAAACACAGTGTACCTCGGGTCAGGCTGGGTTGGGCCGTGTGAGACCCACCGAGTCCATGAAAGCTATGTCATGGTAATGCTTGCAAAGTTTGTGCCAGAAATAGGATACTACGGAAATGATAAATGTGTTGTGAAACTTGTTTGATGCAGGTATGAGCTCCCAGATTCACATCCTCTCTTGGACGGTGTAAGTTATAATTTTCTATTTTCATATACCACAGTGGTTTTATTTCGAATAGCATGCTTAAAAGTTATTTCCTTTCACGTACAAACAGATGGACAAAAGAGAACCAGATGATCCTAGTCCATATCTCCTGGCTATTTGGGCACCGGGTGAGGATAAAGCACTTTGATATTGTGTTCACTGAGCACAACATGGAAGAAAGTAATCAGACCTTGAATTTGTGCATTTGCTAACACTTATGGACCTGTTGTGAAACTACGAAATGAAAGCTGAAACATATAATCCATTGGTGTTGTGTGTATTAGTTGTGAGATACATTCCAATATATAGTATTTGGCTTGCTAGGTGAAACTGCCCATTCAACTCAACCACCTGTAAGGAAGTGTGAAGGGCAAGAGCTGGGCAAGTTGTGCAGTGATGAGACTTGTTCTGCATGCAATAGCGTGAGAGAGGTGAACTCGCAGAAAGTCAGAGGAACCCTTCTGGTGAGACGCCCTGATCTATGCTATGATGATGGGAATGTAACTCAAGCTGATGCATAAGGAACGATACAAGTTCATAAATATGTGTTTTGCCTCATCCACAGATACCTTGTAGAACAGCCATGAGAGGGAGCTTTCCTCTGAATGGGACATACTTCCAAGTTAACGAGGTAAATGCAATGAAATACCGAATACAATTCCATCAATCCGACAAAATTCAAAAAATGATTTTTTTTTCTGTTGATCTTTTCTATCAGATGGGTTATTGGTAATTGGATGTTATTATTATCTTGCAGGTCTTTGCAGATCAAGAGTCCAGCATCAACCCCATTGATGTTCCTAGAGACTGGATATGGAATCTACGTAGACGAATAGTATACTGCGGGACTTCTGTAACCTCGATTTTCAGAGGTAAGAATATCTCCAGTTTTTGCCCGCAAAAAACACACTCACCTTTCTTCCTTTAGCATTTGGCATGCGATCATGGTTCCATATATCTGATTCAGAATTCGTCATTTGCTTTCCCAATATCATAAATGGGTTACTCACACAGATTGCCACAAACTTTATGCAGGTCTTTCAACGGAGAAAATACAGTACTGCTTTTGGAAAGGTATAAGATGTATCGTATCGGATTTGTTCCTGAACTTTGAACATTAGAACATAACCTAGGACCGAACATTGTTTTCTACGACGTAACCTACAACATGACCAAAGTATCTGAAAATTCTGCTGCAGGATTCGTATGTGTTCGGGGTTTTGACCGAAAGACACTTGCGCCCCGGCCCCTGATGAAAAGACTGCATTATCCAGCGAGTAAACTGAAGGCGGCCAAACCCGAAGGCACGGAATAAAGAAAGAAAGTTTGCTTCTTTGCCTCTTTACTGCTATCTTTCAAATAAAAAGCAGACAATGGTCCAGGATGTTCTGTCGAAAAAAAAGGTCATTCAACACAGAGTTTAGACGACTGAAGATTTTTTTCCTGACTTCCAATTCCATAGGAGAATAAGATGGAAACAAAAGAAAAACAATTTTAGATTCCTTTATCTCTGACAAATTTCTGTGACAGTTCAGTTCCTCGGTTTTGTTGCTTTGATGGCAAAGCTGAGTGAATTTCAGTTCTTCTTCAGGAATAACAAGAGCATGACTTGACTTCTAAAGGAAGAGGTAGGTGTATGGATACTCGCCACTACATACATGCATACATATGTCTTTCCCGACAAATAGGAAAATAAAAATATATATGTATTTTGGTTTCTTTAGTCTGTATCCTTGACATTCTTCAATAAGCCTCAATAATCTCCAAAGAAAACTGCCACCTGTAACCGTGGATTTTCAGGACCCGCATGTACCCAGAATACGGATTTCCAATCACCAACAAAACCAAAAAGGAAAAGAAGATATTGAAACGCGTTGAGGGAGATTACAAAACCAATTTAGCAAGTGTTGTGTTTGGATCTTATCAAAGTACAAACAGAGTTGATTCCTATAGTTCATTGGGACCAATGGTCTGCTGCTCACTGTCATTTAATCATCAGCAAACCTGATCTTCTTGGGAGCTGGTTGGACACTCCCCACCTGAAAGCCAGACACAAAGATATTGTTGTTATTGTTAATGTGTTTGAAATGTAATGAAAGACTTTGAATTTACAACGGCAACTTACAATCTCTGGGCATTCATACTCTATTCCTGCATCCTCTATTCTCTTTCTCCGCTTCTCATCTCGTTTCATTATCTTCTCCACCATTTTCCTATGCCCTTCCAGTGTTCTTTCCTGCATTATTCATAAGAATCGAGGTTTTCTTTTGAGATTCAGTTGATCGTTGATAATGGAAAATATTACGGGGATGGTCAATCCTGAACCAGGTATTTACCTTGTTGTGATGTTTTCTTTCTATCTCAACCCTGTCTACTGGTTTGTAACGATAATTAAACCCTCTCCACCTATAATCAACACAAAAGCATACCATCAGAAACTGCTAAATCACATCCAGCTCTAACCACGTTCGCATTCAAAAGAAAAAGAGCTCATAAACCCAAGTATCTACACAATGCACATAATCCGCTTTTCTTCTCCTAAATCATTACAATAACAGAGAAGTGAAGCCCTATAACCCCATAACATGTTCCAGACTTCCAGTTTGAATCACATAGTTCGAATCGAGCATGAGAAATAAATTTTACTAATCTCATCATCATAATACATTCATAACTCCATGAGAGGCTCAACACATTTTCCTTCTTCTCTGGCTTTTCCATGGCTTCCCATCTAATAACAAAGTGTGAAATAGCTATAAAGGAAACAATCATACACACTTAACTATTTATATCGCTAAGAACGCCGAGTTTACGAATCTTCTACTGAACAACGCAATTATATGAATGGCAATCATCACAATTCATCAAAATCAGAATAAACCACTCACAATTTCGGCTTGACATGCTCTGGTGGAATCAGATGGACTTGCAGAAGGTGCTCAAGCAACAAGTAATTATGCATACAATCCGCTACAACCTCTGCCACCTAAAGACAACCAAATCCAATGTCAGAAATGAAAATCTCGTAAAGAAACAGCACCAGAAGAAACCATTTTTCTCCGATTCAAGTATCACCTCAGAATCTTCGAACTCTATGAATCCAAAATGCCTCGATTTGCCAGTCTGATAAATTTTATAAAAAAAATCAAATCTTTTACATCCCCCGAAGGACCAAAGAAAGAAGGTATCATTAGAACTAAACCCCAAACTGCATATGTCTGACCTTTTTGTTCCGCGCAATTCTGAGCCTCTTAATCGTTCCAAACTGCTTAAAAAAAGCTGTAGACCCAAAATTAACGAACAAAAACTACGACGAAGCATGTATATTCCAATTAGCTTGATACAAAAAGGAAGAATTCACCTTCCATCTCAGTCTCGTAAAACCCGTGAGGGATCCGACCGATGTATAAAACCGTGGCTTTGGTTTCGAGAGGCTTGGTGTCGGGAGCTTTGCGAGCAGCACCGCCTTCCAATGGCTACAACAAGTGGAACCACAAGAAACAGAAAAGCATAGTGATTCAAACAGATCAGAGAAAATGAAACGAATTCAAAAACGATGGAGGGGTGAAAGCATCAAAGAGATTACCAAAAAATCAGCTGATTCTTTCTGGTTCCCGGGAACAGCGAGCTGAGAAGAAGAAGAAGATGATGAGGAAATCTTCTGCAGCTTCTTCTTCAGAGCTTTCTTCGCCTTGGCACCCATGTCGCCGTCAAAGGGAGAGAGAGGTTGAGACTGATGAGATTAGGGTTTAGGGTTTTCTGAAAGAGAACCAAACTTTGCCGGCGTTTTAGGGCTGTAACATTACGAAACGTTCGCTTCTGTTTTTACATATTTCTAATTCGACCCCTCTACTATTTGCTTAATGCTTTTTTGGCTTCACCGCCCATAATATTGTTATAATCTTTTTATTTTTATTTTATTTCAATATGTGTCTAATATTAAAAAACAAATTGAAAATTATTTGTTCATACTAACATGCGGTACGGAGAGAACTCAATGGTTTCCTTTATAAATTTCTGTTAAAAATATGGATTACAAAATAAATGGGAAATATAAATAAATTTGAGGGTGATAAACGAACTAAAAATAAAAATAAGGGTCTCAATCATTTTCTTTAAATTTATTTTTCACTTTAAAATCAAGTCTTAATTCGCTTTGGCTACTTGCTGCCCGTGTTAGGTGATTGGAACATGGTCGGTCCAACAACTAACCAAAATTCACCATTTTAATTATTATAATTATTTCACTCTAATTGTTGATTGGTTGCAATTATTCTTCTTGCGAAGCTTTCCAAAATTAGATAATGATTTGTCTGAACGCGAAACATGCCTAAAAGGGAAAGCGTATTAAATCACTAAACTTTTAATTGGCCGTCAGGTTAAGTTACTCCAAATCCTACTTGAAAATGTGATTAAAATGTATTATTTATGTTTATATATGCTTTTCATGATACTTAAATAGGGAGAGAAAAAAAAAGTTGTTGAGGAAATTTCCTCTAACGTGTAAATATTTTTTTTTATCAAATGTACGATATGTGAAAAATAATAATACTTTTCGAATATTGGCATAAGTGATATGTTATCATCACGTAAACAAAAAACGTCGTCATCTTTAATAGATAGATAAACCTCGTTATATATATACACACACGCGTATTCATATAAAAATATAAAAAATATAAAATAAGGACAGAGACGTATTTAGAGTTCAATTTTCATATTTTTTGCTCTCTGCGCTCGATGCAATGCTTAAATATAAGCATTATATAAAAAATACGCTCCGTTTACTATTTTGATTTCAAAAGATATCTTTCGCCGACTATTGACCCATGTAATCGCACTAATTCATTATGTCCATACCTTGTATATCTCACTAATCATTTAATCAAACATTATAAATTTAACATTATGACCAATATTATATTTCTCAATATATGGATCACAAAATCACAGATGGATAAGGGTATGTCTTGAAGTCAAAATAGTAAAGAAAGAATGTTTTTTATATAATACTGGTTAAAGAATAAAGAAGTCATGAGTTCGATTCTATTCTCCAACGAGTCTATCACTCTTTGAGTAGTTTACATGTTTCACATGGTTTATAGACTATTACGTGAATTCGAAGGGTTTATCACCGTATCTGCCGTTACAAAAAAAAATTATACTTTTCGAATGTTCAAGTTCGAACCCGAACCCGTATATAAACTCGTTGGATCGAGATTCAGATCAAATATTTTAGACCCTTTGAGGTTTCAGATCGAACCGACCCTACATACACGTTTATATATATATAAATATACATAATACACGTATATACATATATACAAAAATATGTATTATATATAATACATATATACATATATATATATATATATCTACGTATTTATACATACATACATACATACGTATACAAAAATATAAATATAATAATACATATTAATATAAAATAAAATATGAAATAAAATATGTATAAATTACTTTCATACATGTGTATGTATACACACATGTACATATAAAATAAATTCATATATATATATATAGGTATATATATTTATGTGTAGGTATATTATATATATATATATGTATAAACATGTGTGTGTATATAATTGTACGATGTATATATATGTGAATTAACACAGTATGTAATTTATATTTACATATATATTATCTATATTTAAAAAAAGGAGGTTTATCTGTGTTAGAGAGGATGTCCCATTTTTAGTCCACGTGGCATTAACATGTCATTAAATTCGTTACTTTTTAACGGCGGATGTCGATTTATGGTAATAATTAAAATTTTTATATATTCTGGTAAAAGTTTCGAAGTTCATATATTTATATAATTTTTTGAAAGTTTGTATTTTTTTAGGCCATCTTTCTTATAAATTATAAAAAAAGCCTACAAATAAATATTGAGTAGAGATAACTAACTTTGTCTTGTATTTGATTCTGATCCAATTAATTAATTTCATAATAAGTTTTAAGATTTGAGAAAAACAGTATACATTCGTTTTTCTAAAAATGCAATTGAATTCAAATTTTTTCTATATTATGTTTAATTACTAAAAAGTATACATTTTTAAAATCATTTATTTTTATTCTATTTTTATATTCTCTCATTTTTATCAAGTTTATTATATTTATTCGATTTTTAATAATATAAATTACAGAATGAACAAGTACGAGAGATAGAAAAGACATGTAATATATAAAAATGCTACGAATACAAATTCGTGAATGGTAGTGGACACCCTCTTAAAATGGTAGAATAAGAAAGGGTGAAAAATATTTGTTAGACAGAAAATACCACGAATAGGAATACGTGAAAATGCAAATCTAAAATAGATGAATTAAACTATTATGTTTTTCTCCCAAGAAATAAATTATTATATACAAGCAGATATATGCGTTTTTATCCATATTTAATTCCACATAGGAATATGGATTCGATTTTATGGAAAAAAAATGAAATATGGGATTTATTAGGAATTATTTTTACATGTGATTTGTTTAAATCTATAACTAAGCATTCATTTTCTATAAAATTGATATTGATAACATGATAAAGAAAAAAAAAATATGTCAACAAAAAAATGATGTACATTAAAAATGCTCAAATATGTCGATATTCAACATAATCTATTTCTATAATAGAATAAAATCATTTTTATCGTGTGAGTGTTTGTATGATGATTGATGACAATCCAAAATTACTTTTTATATAGGGATGTCAAACGAGCCAACTCGGATCATTTTGGATTCAGTTCATTTGGCTCGGGTTCGTTTTGGACTCAGCTCGTTAGGCTCTGTTAATGCAAGGAAAGAACACCAAGAGAAGATTGAACATCTAGAAGATAAAAGATAACATGCCATTGAAGAAAAATGGAAAGATCAAGGAAAATGAATAAAGTTCAAGAAAAAAAAAAGAACATATTGAGCAAAATATTGGAAACAAGAAGAGGAGCTATGCATAAATATAGGACTTGGGAGATACAGAAAGGGATCCTAGCAGAACAGAAAAAGAGAACAAAGAGAAAAAAAGCTGGAGAATCATAGGTGTGGGAAACACGAGTGAGTGATACTTGAGAGAGAGTGAAGTGCATCTGAGGGGGAGTCTTCAAATAACAGACGAACTGCTCAAAGGGCCTAGACGAGTCTAGGGTTACACGGGGTGTGCGAGACACACATAGTGTATGGGCTGATAGAATTCATGTTGTAAGGGGGAACAAACTCAGGGGGAGTTGTGTTCTTGGGATGGATTAGGCTCGAACAAAAAAGAGTTGTAATTCATGTTCTTTACAAATGAATAGAATCAGTTCGGAAGTTTTTGAAAGCAATATCGTGTGAGTTTTACTTTTTCAGGCTCATTTTCTAACGAGTTAGAAAAACCTCGACTCGCATCGCTCGCCAGTTTTCCGATCTGAACGAGCCGACTCGTTGAGCCAAAGATATATAATATTTTTTATTTTTTTATTTATTTTAAATATAATTATAAATTTAAATAAATACATAAAAAATTAATAAAACACCAATATTATTTAATATTTTCAATTATCACCATCATAATAATTAGTATATTTATAATATCATATAAATAATATGAAAATAATTAATCTAAAATTATATTAGAGTTTTTTTATATAAATTTAATTTATTTTTAAAAAAATATCAGCTCGTTGAGCAGGTCGTCAGCTCGCCGAGTCAGACTCATTGAACACTGTTCAATGAACTCTGGCTCGTTAGACTCATTTTTTAATAAGCTGGAAAAATTACAGCTCAGATCGCTCGTTTTCTGGCGAGACACGAGCCAACTCGCGAGCCGGACTCGTTTTGACACCCCTGGTTTTTATATGCATACAATTTTTTTTTTTAACACAAAGTATATAAATTTGTTATGCCGTTTAACAAGTGAGTAATAATATCGAACGTTTTCATTATTATTATTTTTTAAAAAAGACATTGTGGGGAAAAATACTAAGTTAATGTCGAGGTACTAATGGCAATTTTGACTGTACATCGGTACCCAGCGATGATATGGAGACCGTTTGTCAGATTGAATTCAATTACATTTATGAAAATCAAAGTACACATAGGTTATATCATTATATGCTTATATTTTTCCAATATATAATTAATCAAAATATGAATTGAACTAAAAAAAATCTAAACCCTAAATAATACTCTAATAAATTTATTAAAAGAATTAAATTAAAATTGAATCAAATACCAATCAATATTTATTAAAACAATATAATCGCAGTGCTTATTGCTACAAGGGAGTATTGATCTAAAAAACATATTGTCAGCCTAAAAAGTATAAACAGAGAAAATAACATCTAAAACGAATATATATATATATATATATGTGGATTGGAGGCTAGTGTGTAGAGCCATTAAATTTAAACGTTACGTGGCATGCATGCAGACTATACGCCTCGAGTAATTCAAATTTAAGGTTGATACGTTATCTCCGCCAGTTATTATTATTATTATTATTAAAAGTCAAACTTTATTTACAGTATCTTCGAGGTGAGAGCCATTGGGACAACCTGACTTCTGACACAAACTTCTCTGCATGGCAAAATTCGCCGGCTGATTTCCATTTTCCCAATTCATCTTTTTATTTATTTATTTATTACTACATAGAAAATTGAGCTCCATTTTTTGAGTTTGATTAATTTTTATTAAAAATATTTATTTTATTTGATCTCATTTTTTTCATATTTTAAATTCGATCATTTTAGTCTACGAAATTGTTATCGAATAAATTCCTAGACGAGATTCATTTCGAATACACGATTACATATTATTTATTGGCTTTCAAACCCAAATATCCAACCAAACTAAAACCAATTCATATAGATTTCATAATTTCATCTACTTATCAGGAAATAGATGGGTTATTATCAGATAAAATAAAACTCTTTTAAAAGGTATACATATATATATTGTGTTTACCGGTGAAAGTATTAAATATATGGCCGCATCCACCGTATTAAATTTTGTTGCGTTTACTGAGTTCAGGAAGTAGCTGAGAGTGTCATAAGTGTGAATGCCCACCATCGCATTTCGCCCACTCATTTTCACGGATGTTAGTCCGTCGGTCCAATAATATATATGGCTGCAAACCCTCCTTTATTTTATTTTTTGTTAAAAGCTCCTTTATTTCTTTTTATTTACCACACCGCATCAATACGCAAAAGCATGTCACATGAATACGTATTTAATTATTTTTTTACGTCAGAAAATAACATTGATTAATTAGCCTTAATCTAAAATGATATTTTTCTTAAATATGTTATGAATATTAATATATAATTTATGTCCGACTTGACGAAAAAAGATATCAAAAAACGTCGTGCGTATATCTCTTGGTCCAACAAATAGGCAAATCATGGTAGAAAAGTTAGATAGAGTTTGTGTGATTTTTTCTTCGAATTCTCATCTTTTCTTTAGAAATCCACTCTAATACCATGCAGTTATAATCTGTTTCAGAGAAAATCGTCTAACAAATCATGAATCTTTAAAAAAATTTACATATAAAATCATGATTTTTATTAATTTTATCATATTTTCATAAAAATTCATAATTAAATTCACGATTTTATATAGAATTTTAAAAATTTATAAAGTTGATAAATATGTAGGAATATGATCAGATTTATAAAGTTCATGATTTTATATTGATTTTTTTGAAAGTTTGCCGTTTTTTAGGTTATTGTCCATTTGTTCTAAAAACAATATTATAGATTTTTGTTGATATGTGAGAAAATATGATCGTTTAAAAAATAAGTTTTATAATATATTTCATACTTTTATCTGAATATACATTCATAATAAATAGCCATACAAAATAATACGTATTTTATGATATAGAAATTAGATATATATATGTTTGTGATTTATCTTATTTTTCAAAATAGCCAAAGGTAGCCATATTATGCATACCGATCTACAAATCTCCCTCGATCGAAAATATATGTAACGTCTCATCCCAATCGTACTTGTGCAAGATGCTGCTGTTACGTACCATATTCGTCAACATATCGCTATTTCCGGAAATTGGATTCGATATTATCTTTAATATATTATTTTATTTTCTTCGCATTACAATGGAAAAAGGAAATGTTTCTACGTCTACGTACGTGCATGCCAATGCATGGTTACGTACGAGCACACGGATTTCGAGAAACGAAAGTACTGGCTAAAAAAATTTATTCACTTCACCTTTAAAAAAAAATTTATTCACTTTACCAAACCCGACAAAGAAAATTAATCACGAAACCGAATAATCAAGTATTTATTCAAATGATTCTTACCTAAGTTTTCATGCTGCATGTGCATGTTCGCCATTTTTATAAGCTTCCCCCCTCACCACCTTCTTCTTCCTATCCCCTCGAACCCATGGCTCTCTTCTTCACTCTCTTCGCGTTATTCTTCTCCGCTGTCGTCGTCGTCCTCACGCGCCGTCGCGGCAAGTGGAAGCGCGTGAATCTACCTCCCGGTCCTCCGGGATGGCCGGTCGTCGGAAACCTCTTCCAGTTCGCGCGCTCCGGCAAGCAGTTTTTCGAGTACGCTGATGAGCTGAGGAAGGTGTACGGTCCGATTTTCACTCTGAGGATGGGGATTCGGACAATGATTATCGTGTCCGACGCGAATCTCGCCCACGAGGCGTTGATCCAGAGAGGCGCCCTGTTCGCGACCCGACCCGCCGAGAACCCGACGCGGTCCATCTTCAGCTGCAACAAGTTCACCGTCAACGCCGCCATGTACGGACCAGTGTGGAGGTCGCTGCGTCGGAACATGGTTCAGAACATGCTGAGCTCGACCCGGCTCAAGGAGTTTGAGTCGGTTCGAAGCTCCGCCATGGATACGCTCATCGACAGGATCAAATCGGAGGCTCGCGACAACGGAGGGCCCGTCTGGGTCCTCAAGAACGCGCGATTCGCCGCGTTCTCGATCCTCTTGGCCATGTGCTTCGGTATCGAGATGGACGAAGAATCGATCGAGAAGATGGATCAGATGATGAAAACCGTTCTGATCACCGTCGACCCACGAATCGACGATTACCTCCCGATTCTGGCTCCATTCTTCTCCAAGGAGAGAAGAAAGGCTCTCCAAGTTCGTCAAGAACAGGTCGATTTCGTCGTCGGATTCATCGAGCGGCGCCGGAGGGCGATCGAGAATCCAGGATCCGACAAAACGGCGGCGTCTTTCTCGTACCTCGACACCCTCTTCGATCTCAAGATCGACGGACGGAAAACGACGCCGTCGAACGCGGAGCTCGTGACGCTCTTGTCGGAGTTTCTCAACGGCGGTACGGACACGACGGGGACGGCGATCGAGTGGGGGATAGCGCAGCTGATATCGAATCCCCAGATTCAATCTCGACTCTACGATGAGATCAAATCGACGGTCGGAGATCGTCCGGTGGAGGAGAGAGACGTGGAGAAAATGGTGTTCTTACAAGCCGTCGTGAAGGAGCTTCTCCGGAAACATCCTCCGACGTATTTTTCCCTGACCCACGCCGCGACGGAGCCGACGAAGCTCGCCGGATACGACATTCCGACCGGAGTCAACGTGGAGTTTTATCTCCCGGGAATAAGCGAGGATCCGAAATTATGGTCCGACCCGAAGAAGTTCGACCCGGATCGGTTCCTGTCGGGTCGTGAGGACGCCGACATGACGGGAGTCACCGGAGTGAGGATGATGCCGTTCGGTCTGGGCCGTCGGATCTGTCCGGGGCTAGCGATGGCGACCGTACACGTGTACTTGATGCTGGCGAGGATGGTTCAGGAGTTCGAGTGGAGCGCTTATCCGCCGGGAAGTGAGCTGGATTACGCCGGGAAGTTGGAGTTCACGGTCGTGATGAAGAACCCTTTGAGAGCCATGGTCAAGCACAGAGTCTGATTTTGTTTTTTAATTAAATAATATAATTAGGCGTGTTTAATTATTTAATTATTGGTTTATCATAATATGAAGTGTGTTTGTGTGAAAATGCTTTATCGCTTTTACCCTTTTTTTCCTGGATTATAAAATTGCTAAAAAAAACGGTCCAAATTACTATTTTATTCGTAGAACGTTTAACAATTGGAATAAAACTACAAATAAATGATTAAATATTTAAAAATCGGTTTTGGAGATGGAATTTAATATAAAGTGTCCACCAACATACATACATTTGTTGCTTTTTGCTTTCAAGAGCCGCAATATACGGACAGTCTCGAGACGATGATAACGAGGTAGAAACAATATGTCTTATGTCCGAATCTAAGATTGTGACCTGTAGGCTATGTTACTAATTCCAATACCAAACCAAAGCATAATAAAATTAAGTTATTTGAATAAATATTTTAATTGTAAAAAAAATCGAATGCTTACAACATTTAAACGAAGGCGATTTTTAAAATAAAAACTAAATAAATTTAAAAAATTAAAACAAACGAAAAACTCTGAATTATCACGACTGAGGGAGAAAGAAGCTATAGAGATTGCCTTGTCAAAGATCAAATTTCAGAAAAAGATGATAAAAAACCAAATAAATTATATTAACATAATAAAAACATACACGTAGATCGGTCATGTGAAGTTTCCATGTTCTTTTACTGTGTTCAGCTCTTTCTTCATCGTCCCAGCGAAAAAGACGAACAGAAGAGGAAGAACTTATAGTGCATCATGTCAGATGAGGTTTATATATGAACAAATCAACAAAAAGAAGAGAAAACCCGTAAACTAAGATCTAAACCAATGTACAATCCTGTACTTTAAGGCTGTAATAGCATCTCTCTCCGAATCACCTCTGAAAGATTTGCCCGAAAAAGGACAGCACTTTCGTTCGATCCTGCAATTGCCCATCATCTCTGGAAACTCTCTTCGGAAGCTCAGTTCAAGAAAAGGGTAGTTGCAGATTCACTTGTTTCCGCCGCCCGGATGGCCTCTGCAATTCTGAGAGCCACCATGGCTTTGTAGACGATCAAGTCAGCGTTCTCTGCAAGAACTTGTGCTATTTGCCGCTTGGTGATTGCAATCTCCATGGAAGTATCTGCCGAGACCTTTGCTTCCTCCACTCGGCCAAGTGCGCTTTGTTCCTCTGAAACATTCTGTTCGGTTGCCTTCTCTGCAATGATCCACAGAGCAAACAGTTCGAGAAGATCAGAAAAACTGGTAACAAAACAACGTTGTAGTGGCAGACAAAATGATAAAAAGTCCAATCTTGTGGGGATTTTGGATCAAATTTTGGAATAAGGGTCATATTTTTGGATCAAATTTTCAGTTTTTATAAGATATTGTCAGAACTTGAGTCCAGTCATGCAGAGAAACCAAAGGATACATTGAATGCCAAATCTTGTGAATACGTTAAATTCAGACATTGCAGTTCATAACAGAAGGAATTACATGCCATATAGTTCACACAACAATTCCTAATTCCAATATCTTGAATGTCCAGATCAAACTGACACCATTTGGCTCTAAATGACAGGGAACAAGTTCCAGATCCGTAATTCTTGGACTCATCAAATCAGACATAACAATTTAATGACTCTACACTACGGCAAATAATCGCCAGATCGATATCATTGCAGTTATGAAATATTCTGCTCTGAGGGAACATACCTTGCAAAGGACTTGGTTCTTTGGCTTTTACATGGAGTTGGCTTCCCTGCCTTTTGAATGATCTTCTCTTACGAAAGACGGGTTTGGACAGTAATGGAGCATTCTTCGCTTGCTGACCCTGCTATACAGAAAGCATTTACATTTCCAACCTCATCGCATTTAAAATCAAATATAAACAAAGAACTAGCACCAGCTGAAGCAAGATAACATATTCAAACAATTTGGCCTATTTTACTTTACCTGGAAAACCCCAATGAGTGGTGCCTTTCTTTGCTTCCTTTTTCTTGTCCAGTAACCGTATACCGCTTCTAACACTTCTTGCTTACCCAGGTAACAAAGACTAGTGATCGTTGCTTTCTCATCCGAGAGATCGTCATCAGGGCTGAGGAAACATGCCTTTTCAAATCCATCGATCATCGTTTCAAAACTATCCAGCTGAAGTTGATGAGAGGTCTCAACTCCACCGGGCATTTCCCTGTTATACCTTTTCAGCCACTCTTCATCTTCAGAATCCATGTCATAGACAGCACTACTTCTAGCCAGTGCCCTTGATACCTCATCTTCTTTCATTGCTATGTATGAAACTGGCCTAGAAAAGAAGCAATGGTGGTGACTATTGATATCCTCTTCGAACCCCATGACCTCTCGTACACCCGGTATAGGAATGACTTTGATGTTTGGTTCCAAGACATTCCGTTCATAGCAGTCTTTATACATATCTTTGAAAGCGAGCCAATCTTGCCTATCGCAAAATTCAAGCTTCAAATTATCATCCCCGGTCCATGTTATCGAATGTGTAAAGCGGTTGCATGAACAAGGTCTCATCATTTTTTGTGCCTTGTGGCTGTATCTAATCGACCCATCTTTCTTAAAAACAATATACCACTCCCTCGACGATGAGGAGAACTCCAACAAGACGTCAAATCCTCCTTCCCTCATGCATCTGTCTGAGTCAGTGACCAATATATTTGCAGAACAACACAGAGAATCACATTCCTGTCCCGTTATTGCATGTGGAGAGCTAATCTCATTTGATCGTGGAGCTGAGTTATGCAGCATCGAGCTTCTAAGATTCCTTGGAGACGCAGTGGACGAAAAGGCAGCCTGATTTTTCCTACTTCCTGTTAATTCCGAAATTGAGATCCCGATGTACGACTTGTGCACACCATGTGAAAGATTTCTTGCTCTTCTCCTCCTAAAAGAGCTTCTTCTCTTCTGGAAACCATGAGAACCCAGGCTTCCCCTATATTGAGCATTACCTCCAGTTAACTTGGAGGCTCTCATAGATGTGAGTAAACTTAATACACTCTCGTCCCTTGAATTACACACTTGAGTTATAAATTCTTCAGTATCTGTATTGGATTCTTCCACTGCTTGGCTTCCACCGTTTTTGATAAAAAATATGGATTTCTTTACGAAAATAAAGGAACGACAAACCACTCTGAGAAGTAGGGTAATATGCATATCCATGAAACATGGAGGAACGGCAGCAAAATCAACCGAAAAAAGCGGTAGAGAATCCACGACCCCAAAAAATTTGCAATTTCCGTGGGGACTATTGGGAGGCTCCTGAAAAAATCAATTCAAAATACAGATCAACCTTACCATAACAAAAAAAGATTCAAGTTTCATGAACAATGTGCATCAATGAATACGTAGCTACACCAAATCAACCACTATGGACATTTATAGAGATTATTACCAGCAGGAA